GTTGATTTTGATTGGAAAATGATTGCAAAAGTATACGGTTACGACCGTTTCAGATACGTGTAACGGTACGAAACGGGGAGTTTTGATTGGAAAATGATTATTGTTTCAAAAAGTTGATTGGAAAATGATTACTGCAAACTTTCGTTGATTGGAAAATGATTACTCCAAAAATTTGTTGATTGGAAATTGATGATTGCCCCCCGGGGGCAGGAATTTTATTAGGAATAGGTGGGGGAAGGCGGAGGAGGCGGGGGGCGGGGGGGGGTGGGGAAGAGGGGGGAGAGGGGAGGAGGAGAGGGGAAGGGGAGGGAAAGGAAGAGATCTTGCACGCCAGTGCGACAGAGGAATCGTCAAACATGTGAGCATGCTTTATGTACAACTGAGCTCCCACGAGCCTCCTCCTCCTCACCCCCCAACACTATACATCCTCGTCGATCACGGTCTCTATCCCGTCAGAGCTTCTCCACGTAGTTGGCCGGGACAAGTCCGAGCTGTGAGGGAACAAGGTTAGTCGCAAGGCTGCGGCCTGTAGGGTACCTGGTCGTGCTGCTTGGCAACATACCATCCCTCCTGTGCGAGGCCGATGAGCATCATGGAACTGCCTGTCTCTGCCGATCCGAAGTCAGATCAATGCAGGAGGACGAGGAAGAGAAGATGAGGAGTTGATGGAAGAAGCAGAGAGGAGGAAGTGGTGGTGTTGATCGAGGAGGAGGAGGAGGAGCAGAAGTAGGAGGAGGAGGAAAAACCTATGTCAAGCTCGTCGAGCTCCGAAGCCTTGTAGTCGAAGAGAGCTCGAGCAGGGATGTTCTTTTCGAATCTGAGGGTCCAGATGTTACCGAAGTGAATAAAAACGCTTGTTTCGTTCCTCCCTCATCTCCCCTCCTCCTTGCCGCCCCTCGCCCCTCCTTCCCCCTCACCTCTCCTCCATCTCGAACAACTCCTCCTCGTCCTCGGGGCTCTTGTGGCTCCCGTCGTGCCTCGTCGAAGCCTCTAGCGTCCTGTCGTTGGCATCCTCAACAGACGCAGGAGACTGCACCGGCTCCTCGATCTCGAACAGCTCTGCTGGCGACAGGAGCGCAGACTCCTTGGCAACCTGCCTGGCGACCCTCCTCTCCGACTTGATCTTCGTGTAGCTCTTGAGCGTCTCCACCCGATCAGCGAGCCCCATGCACATCTTCTTCAGCTCCTTCAGCTCCTCCTCTGCCTTCACCATGTTGTCGATCCCTCCCTCCAGCACCAGGCGCGACAGCTTGCAGCTCTCCGTGAACTGCCGGCTCTCGTCCGCCATGGCCTGATGCCGCAGCCCGACGAGGCGCGCGGCTTCATGCAGGATGTCAACGTCGTGCGGGTTGTACACCTCCGCCTCCCTCCACCTGCACGCCTGCAGCACCCCACCACCTCCCCGTTTGGCCACTGCACAGGCACACAGGCCATGGGCCCGACCTCCTTGTCCTCCCGGATGGTCCAGCGGGTGAGGTAGGCTCCGTCAGTCTCAGGGTCGTAGCGCTCGTCCTCCCCCGGCGTGTCCACGAGGACCGTCTGCTCGTTGTGGACGGCGTGAAACAGGAGCCCCTTGCTCCCCAGCTGTACGTCCATCACGTGCGTCACGCTCTCCTTCTCCCACGAGTCGTTGCTCGACAGGTTCGACTCCGACTTCTGCAGCTCCGCAGGCAGGATGGCCTCCATCATGCGCGCCGCGTACTGCTCCACCGACTTGTCCGACACCAGGGCGCGGAGCACGAGCCCCCCGTCCTTGTTGGAGAGCAGGAGGTAGACGACGCACATCTCGCAGGAGACGAGCTGGCGAGTGAGGGGGCACGCGATGGCCAGCAGGTCCTCCATCGTCCTGCAGTCGAGGATGTAGCGTCCCAGGAGGCCGCTGGCTCGGCTGAACCTCTTGTGCTGCCTCTCCACCTCGTCCACCACACTCCCAGCTCCGTTCCTCCTCACCTCGTGCTCAGCTGCAAGCCTGGCAGCGGTCAGAGCCGAGTGAGCCTTCTCAAGGTCCCTGCTGTGCTCAGCGTCTGCCGAGTCGAGCTCTTTCTGAAGCCTGCTGCACTCGGCCCTGAGCTCCTCCTTCTCCTTCGTCGCCTCTTCGCGCCATCTCTCCATCCTCACCAGCTCTGACCGAGAAGCGTCCAGCTGAGTCCTTATGGCCTTCACTTTGCACTGCAGTGTAGCCACGTCATCGTCCTCTCCGTCGACCTCTTCCTCTTCCACGGCTCTGGCTTCCGATGTCAGTATGTCCTGGTGCTCCTGGGCCACAGAGAAGAGAAACTCCACGTCCCCTTGCAGCGCCAGCAGCTGCGACAGCATCTCTTCGGCCTGTCCACCAGCGAGCCCAAGGGTCTCGGCCCTTCTTCTCAGCTCCACCTGGTCGTTCTTGGACGACTCAGACGAGAGCCAACCCGCTTGCCTTGTCTGCTCCGCCTCCTTACAGCAAGACAAGAGGAGGGTTGAGATCTTGTCGATGTTCGAGTCTAGGACCAGCAGGCGGTCCAAGATCAAGCTGTCTTCACCTGCTGACATAACTTCGCGTCTCTTCTGCTGCAGCTGGGTTTCCTGGGCGACCATGGAAGCCTCGAGGCGAGCCATCTTGTCCATGTGCCTCTTGAGTCTCTCCAACAGGTCGCACTGCACTCGGTCGATGAGAGAGAGTGCAGTCTCATAGCTTGAGCAATGCTCTGCGAAGTGAACGCCGAACTGTCTCTCATCCAAGAGCATCTCTTCCAAATCATTGTTCATGACGTGCCGTTCCTCCAATGTCTCTCGGAGATCTCCCATCGCCTTGTCTTGCTCCTCAAGTCTCGTCTTCATCGCATCAACCTCCTCCATCAGCGAATCCCGTTCCTGCCGCACGAGAATCATTTCCTCCTTACATCCTTCCAACTCTGCCCGAAGTTCCGACGCCTCTTTGGATGTCTGTGCAACCGAGGCTTCTAGTTCAGCTGCCTTTGCTGTTGAGGTTCGCAACTCTTTGCTCAGCTCTCGCGCATGTTCGGCACTGTCAGTCTCCATCCCCTTCCTCCACTTCTGCTCCTCCTCGTACTCCACCTGCAGCTCCGCAAACTTCTTGCGCTGCACCTCCATAGATTGTTTGAGGGCTGACGTTCGTGCAAGAGCAGCCTCCATACGAGCATCGAGCCCTGGCCCGGGGCAGCTGTTTGCAGCTTCGTCTGGTGGATCATTTTCTTCCCGCAACACAGCCCTCAGTCTTGTCAGGAATTCAGTGAAGGACGTCTTCTCGGCACTTGCTTCTCGTCTCAACTCGGCAACTGATGCCCCCACACTATCGAGACCCCCCATGGCGTCACAGAAATCTTCTAGTCGCTCAGCGTGCTTTCCAAGGGAGGAGGAGAGGGCTGCATGCAGACCTCCGTAGTCCTCAGCCCTCTGCACAAGTTCTTCATTCCTCCTCGTCAACTCCTTTGCTTGCAACTTCACATTTCCCAGCAACTCTTCACTCGTGCTGCACCGCAAGGAAAGCTCCTCATTCCTCCTGTTCAAATCTGTGACCCTCTCTTGCAATTCTTGGATATTGTGCTCGAGTATTCTATTCTTGTCCTCAAGCTCTCCCTCCCGCCTCGTCGATTCTTGTCGGAGCCTCGTCACTTCGCTCTCGATTCTTATCCTACCTCCTTTCTCTTCCTCGTTCCTCCGCAGAAGTGCAGCCATGTCCACCTGAAGATCCCGCAAGTTTGGCTCCATCGGATCTAAGGCAAGTTGCAGATCGTTTGCAAGCATTCGAAGCGTTGCAATCATCGTCTGGTGTCTCTGAGTTCGCTGACGTTCCTCCTCCTCCTTGATTGCAGCCTTCTCTGCCATCTCTTCACTCTCTTTCTTGAGTTCGCCATGCTGGGCGATCAGGTCGGAATACTGCTTCTGGCTCTTGTCCAGAGCGTCCTTCAGATCCTGAATCTCAAGTCGCAGATCGTGCAGCTCGTTCTCCCAATCTCGGTCGCACTCCTGCACAACATCGGCCACCAGCCCTCCTTCCGGCTCTGGGGGGAGCTCAGCAAATCGTTTGTCCCCATCGCTGATGTCACAAACGGAGAGGATACGGAAGGGATGATCGTGTGAGCACAGCAACCCCGACGACATGCTCAACTGCCTCTGCATCTCCGCCAGAATCCACATGGAGCTTACTCCCGTTGTCTCCTCATTGCAGAGGATCAAGGTGACCTTGAAGGTGCCTGTCCTGTGAGTTTTCCTGCTCTCCGCTGCAACGCTTTTGGCTGCAGGGGAGACTTCCCAGAAGTCATCGCAAGGAGAGATGTCTTTGATCTTCATCCAGTTGTCTCGAATGCAAAGAGCATCCGCTACAGTAGAGAGAACGCTCCTCGACAACTTGGAGTCAGGTTTGATCGCTTCCAGCGCCTGCCCTACAGGATACTCATGTCGGATGTAGAGCAGAACCCCTGTATCCTCATTGGCTAGGCCATCGTACCGCCCCGCACCCTGCGAAGACTCCTCATCCTCTTCAACCTGTTCGTCCTCTTCGTTCCTTTCGTCATGAATTGCGTCATCATCGAGCGATGGATCTGCAGGACGTTGGCTGGCAGCAGGAGGAGAAACCTGGTCTGCGCGCCAGTCCTGGATGCTCTGTCTGAGTTTGGCGCTGAGAGCCATCATGTTCGATTGATTCTCGCTCAACTGATGCCGAAGAGTCTCTTCATCGACCTCCTCGTCAATGTTTTCTTCCTCCAACTTTCCGTCTGCATTATTATCTTCGCGGTTTTCAACCCCCACCAATTCGAAGCTCGACTCAGGATGTGGCAAAGTTTCTCTTTGAAGTCGATCGGCGGCAGGCTTCACCTCCTCCTCGCAAACGTCAGGGTCACCATGCGGGTCCAAGAAATTCGCTCGGCTGAGGATCTGAACCTCAGTTCTCAATCTGTCCACTTCCCTCCTTAGAGCAATGTTTGTTTCTGACGATCTCTCTCCAAGGCGAGCATGCCGCTCTACCTGCTCGAATGATTCCTCAAGCTCTTTTTTCAGAACGCGCACCTGAAGCTCGGAGGAGCTTAGCTCTTGGGACAATTCTCTGTTCTCTGCCTCAAGTTCTCTGATTTCATTCTCAAGGTTCTTCACATAACTTTGATTTTCTTTTAGAGCTGTGTTGCCTTGCTGCAACTTTGTGATCAGTAATTTTATCGTTGCATCCAGCTGTGTGAGTCTTTGCATGGCATTCGTATCGAGGAAGGAGGATAGGCGATCAGTTTGAGTTCGATGCGAGACTTCTTTGCTGCTTAACTCGTCATACAGCAAGGATTCTTGTTCTTGCACGGAAGTGGTGGACAAAACTGCTTCTCCGACTATGTTTGATGCTGCCTGCAGAGATTCGACGAGCTGTCTCTCGATGTAAAGCTGAGTTTCCGTGACGTACCTGCTCGAAGCTGTCGAATGCGACAAATCTTGGGCCTCGTTCATGGAAGCAAGTTTTGCTTCAAGCAGTCTCACTTTCTCCTTGGCTTGTTCCAGCGCAAGTTGCACTGTCTGATTTCCATTCCGATGCTCTTGCAGAGGATTTTGAGACGATTGGTTTGCATCAGTGGATGAGCGGGAGAGACGACTGGTCTTGATTTGACTTATCCCAAGTTTCTCCTTCACCAGAGTGTCGCGGAGGTTGAGCAATGCAAGGTGCATGCGTGAGCTACATTGCAAGCTGCTACGGATTAAGGCCGAGAGAGCCTTCTCGTTGGACTTTCCCAGCGTTACAGAATCATGCAGCGTCTCAAGGGATTCTTTCTGTTCAGACACGAGAGTGAGGTTCTCGTTGATGGTCTTGTGTATCAGGTGTTGAAACAACTCTTGTCTTGCCCTCAACAGTCTGTAGTCTGATTGTGACTGTTCTAAGGCATAAGCAAGCTTTGCAGACATTTGAGGTGATTGGCTAACTTGATCCCCACCCTGGCCATCCTGAACACCTAAGAGCGCGTACGAGCTTAGTCCATCCATCTCTTCAGCAGCCAACTGTTTGATGTAGTCAACCTCTTCGTCCGTCTTCCCCCCGCCTTGTCTTGTTCGATTCTCAAGCATTGATCGGTTCAGAGGCGGGCTGAGAAACGAGGCTGGTGAGAACGGGGGCAAATCATCGACATTCTTCCTGGCATCAAGCGGGGACGCGAAAATGCCGGGGGAAGCTGTCCAGGAGAGGATGGGCTGAGCATTTTCAGGGGAGCTTAGAGAGTCGTAAGTTACTTTGCTCCTCAAGATGCTGTTGAGAAACATGGCAGATTCAGCACTCCGCCTTGCCTTAATCCTGCAAAGCGATGAACGAACGAATTGAGCATGGAGTTGACGCACCTGCCCAGAGCCTGACGAGCATACGAGACATCAGGCGACCAGTCACTTGGTAAGCTGGAACCAACGACATTGCTGGAGGCAACATGGTCTTGAAACGAGGAGAACCGGCTTGGAATCAAGTTGGAGCCTTTCGGCCCTTTGCTCTTAACAGGCATCCTCAATCAATTTGCTCCCTTCTGCTATCAAGTCGTGGGATCAGCGAGCAACAGCAATGTGCTGGTCTTGACTTCTCGCAGCTTCTTCTACCTTTCAGCATGCGCCCCAGCCAAGCGCTAATCGTCATTGGTAATAAACGACCATGGCGCGTTCCAGCCAATGACGAAATCTTTACTCAACTATTCGATCGGTACTGAAGTTCAGGCCCACCCGGCGGGCTCGCCTCACCGTTTCAGGGCCTACAGCGGCGGCGGCCCGCCGGTTCCGAGTGGCAATGGCCGGGCAGTGCCTGCGGTACGGTACGGTCGTGCTACGGTGAGAGTCCTTCTATTCAGTGAAGAGTTCACTGAACTTGCCTTTTACTTGGGCCGGCGCCCGCCGCTTTGGGCCGCGGGCCGAAACGCCGCACGGTCCGCCGGATCGGAACTCGGCCCGCCGGACTGAACCGTAACGGGTTGAACGACTCCGGCGACTCGGACAGGCTCCCGACCCGCCCGGCCCGTCCGCCCGCCCGCCCGCCCGGCTCCCGGGCCCGGTGCCGTGAGCCGGGCGGGCGGGCGGGCGGACGGGCCGGGCGGGTCGGGCGGCGTGCGGCCGCGGCGGGGGGCACACGCCGAAGGCTGGGAGCCCGGGCCCCGGGCCCGGGCCGCCATGGACACGGTCCGGCCCCCCCGGCGGGACAGCCCGCTGGCACTGAGCGACGCTGCATTACGGTGTAACGTACATGACCGTACTGGCAGTGATCAGATCGCCGCCGCCGTCTCTCGGACCTCCGAGGTCAGAGTCTTTTAAAAACTGATAGTACTGGGCCCGGTCCTCCGTGTGACTGATGATGAGGCCCGTGACTCTGTGAACTTCCGAAGTTCCGCCGCCGATTTCAAAGTTGCCACCGGTCACTTGACCCGGTGACCGTTAAAAATTTGAATTAATATCTATTTTACACAGGCATTTTGTATCGGGCATCCTCCAGTGATATGCTTTTTGTACCAACTTCACACACGCGAATTTGTTCCTCTCAATACAAAATGGGGGATGACTCAAATTAGTACCAAAAATACATTTTGTCTTGTAGTGAATATCTGTACTGAAGTTTGAATTTTGTATGAGATATGCAATATGTCGTACTAATTTCGATTCAATTTGATTATATGTCATCGGAGCCTTGCCGGCGTAACAGTCACCATCCACCGCGGCCAGTCGCATCCCCTGACCCCGACCCCTCACCAGGCCAAGGCCCATTTTGGACCCCTGACCCCCTCATAGCTCTATCAGGTGGGTGAAGACGTGACGGGTGTTTTGCAGACCACCCCAACAGTTGTCCCGTCCCACACTGACCCCCCCCCCCTTCATCCAGCGAATTTCAAACAGTGGTCACCGGACCATGCATTTTTGACTCCCAAGTTGGAAATGCCTCCACAGGCTTATTTTTTTGTATCACAGACCACCCGACCCCATATGGGATGCCCCACCCCACCCCACATTCACCGTTCTCGACACGTCTCCTCGTGTGGACGGCGGACCTGATTCAATGATGGAGCCTACCATAGCGATGGACCTACAAACCGGCCCTACTCCTACCACCCCCCGCGCTCGCTCATGCTCCACACCCTTCCGACTGTTGCCATACCCCTGGCGGCGACGACACCGTGACGAGCACTCATAGGCTGAAGGGGGTACATCTACCCAGGCTCCTCCTACTACTGGTACTGGAATAAGGTGTTGTGGGGGTAGGGTGGTTTGTTCTGGGACTCCTTGCACGAGGGGGTAGAGGGTAAGGTCGAGTGGAACGGGGGTAGTGTAACCGGATTTTCGGTGTAAGCTCGGTGCGAGGGAACAATGGCGACTTTTGTAACAAATGCTGCATGGCAAAAGAATGAGAGAAACATATTTAATGTTCATATTTAGAGATAGGCTTTATGGTTCAGGAGATAATCAGAACAGACTCAAAGGAATGAGCTTGAGACTTTGAGTTAACAGATCTGTCTATTGATTCACTGATCTCACAATCATTCTGCGAACCACTACAAAATGATTTCAAGGTTCACCATTGATTGATGTCACTTCCGATGAGATTGTTCGAAAATGACAAGGGCTGCAGAGATCAGATTCTTGAAATTTACATACTTGATTCTATAATACGAAATTTGTTTCAAATGATTTGTCTTTAAGTTTTTGAATTTTCTTTTTCCAGGGGAGGATGAGATCCCTTCTTGTAGCAGCACTCATCGTGTCTTACTATGGAGAGGCTTCTGCTGATATGTTTCGGAGAAGCTCTACCACAGACTTCAATTACAACCAGTGCGACAACAGCACGGGGCCTTTTGGCTGGCCAGACAAATTTTGTATGACCGACAGCAACCTGGTCCAATCACCGATTAACTTGTGTGGATTTTCTACCTCTCCCGATTCTCTTTCTATTAGCTCTCCTTCTTCATTTACAACTTCAGCTACTTGGAGCTTCGTGAACGATGGCCGTTATCTCAAATTGATCAATCCCAGCCCTGCACTCACCATCGACTCCAATGCAATTACTCTGAACCAGCTCAAGTCTCAGACATGGAATATTGGAGAAATCCATATTCACGTTGGAAGATCTGACACCGAAGGTAGTGAACACTACATTATGGGTGTCCAGTATGGAATGGAAATCCAGGTCATGTTGTACAACAGTCAATATTCCTCATACCAAAGTGCTATTGACAGCTCCTCAAGCACCGCTATCGTTGGACTCTCCCAGTTGTACGATGTGAATGCCCCTGGTGCTGAACCAACAGTCTTGTCTGACATTGCCAAGGCCGCCAGTTCCGCAACTTCTTCTGGAGCAAAAATGAGCACTTCATTCAAGCTTGATGATTTGTTTACAGGATTGAACAGCAAAACCTATTCAGACCTGTTTTTCCAGTACTCAGGAGGCCTGACTACACCCAACTGCAATGCCGTGGTTCAGTGGGTTGTTATGAATACAACTGTGAGGGTGTCTTCCAGCACCCTGCAAAGCTTGCGAGATGTGCAGCTGCCTAATGGGGACAAACTATCCAAGTACGGAAATTTTCGTCCGATTCAGCCAAGAAACAGCAGGATCATTTATTCCTCCAAGGATCTGAAATCCTCAGCGTTTTTCAGCAGCACCTATTTCAATTTCCCTTGTCCCACGTATGGTATTTTTCAAGCGAACTTCAATTGCGATATCGTTCATTGGTGGCATGCACGTAACCTTGAAATAATTTCAATCGTCCTCGGCGGAGTTCTGTTTTTGGCATTGCTCTTCATTTGCTATTTGCAATCGAAGCTTAATGAATTGAGAGAGCAGGAAGAGGACTACTACTATGAAGAAGAGAAGTATGGGACTGAAATGGAGCCAGTACCAATGCAACAGGGTTATGGTGCTCAGTTCGTACCAGAGCCGATGTCCTCGTACCAGTAAAGTTTCGTTCTATGGTATAAAGCAGAGTAAAAATGATCTTCTATCACTTGACACCCTGTTGAATCTCTTTCGAAATGTTTGCAAATCTCGATTTTCGCAATTGGCCAGGGAAAAGCATCTTCAAAAGTCATCTCTTGTCTACCTGTGACATGGATCTTTTACAGTTCCCGCTTCACATTTGATGGACGATGCAGCATACGCAAGGTGGCACCAAGTGTCCACGACATCTCCTTTCCATGGATCTGAAACAACTGTCATATGTCGATTGAACAGCATTTCAGTTTAAGTCGATGACCTGTTTAACCAATTGAACCTTTTGAGCATCGACTGGGATGTTGAGGTATTCTTCTAGTATGTACAATATGTAGGTCAAATCCTGCATGTGATTATGAGAGATCGCAGATGCATTGAATATGCTGTACCTGGCATGCTCTAACTTGAAAGTCTGGATGACTGGTTTCATAATCTTTGTGCTTTGAAACGAACGACTCATAATCCATCTTGCATATCTCTCGAGCAGCAGTTGCTATCTCGGCCACGGTTGGAGTGTCTCCTTTGACAAATTCTGGTAGAACGTCGTACACGTAGGAGAATGCGAGATACCTTCCATGGAAGTTGGGAGGAGGCATTGATGCCAGACTTGTGCATTCCAATGCAGTATCATTACAAGAGCTAGCAAGCGTCTGCATGAGGCGAAAGCACGAGTCAAAGTCTGAAGTGCCGTTGAAGACGTATTGCTCGGGAACATCGAAGAATCCAGTGGAAGGCGCCCCCCTCAAGAGGCATGGATGTTCGACGTTGATATCCTCATCGTTCTCGTTGTTTGCAACCTTTGAACGTTGGATGACAAGGCCGTCAACCCTTCGCCTCTGCTCCATCAGTCCGTACCCCAAGTAGCTTTGAGCAAACAACGGAAGGCTTTCATCTCCAAGGTACAAGTCAAATCGAGGGCCCACAGGCGTCTTGCTGGGCTCCTGCCGGGTAGTGATCTGCAGCGAGCCTCCCCCCAAGTCGATGGTCCCAAACGTTCTCTCTGGCTGAATGTGAGTGGCTGTCTTGAGGATGTAATTCGCCGTGATCCAGGCATCCACTGCTTCGTCTTCCCCCGAGGCGATTGCCACCCAGTCATCTTGAAAGATGAAGGGAGAGCTTGCGAGCAGCTGCCTCACTGCGTTCAGCAGATTCGTCTGCTGCTCATCGGGCAGCAGGCGCAGCCCAGCAGTAGCGAACAGTTGGACCCACGTCGCCTTCACGGAAGCCTGCGGCATGACCGAGAGAGCATAATCGAGCAAAGGCTGCAAACTGTGAGCTGCAGCTGCCGGATCAGACGCGAAGGCTGATAGGCCTGGTTTCACTTGCTTGAAGAAGTCATCTGTAACATTCGGCAAGGAGTCGCCGTTCCAGACCCACCTATACACGTGTATTCTTGATCCAGTCGACCCAGCGTCCATCATCAATCCGTATCCCACTTCTCCTTTCTCCGCCGCATCCCTCTCGGCTGGGGTAAGTCCATAAATGCCTGATATCAACAGCACAAAAAGCATAAGAGGAAAAAGATTCCTGGTCATCCTTTCTGCCCCCATATTTCCCACCTGAAAAACATTCAAAATCACAATTCAATCCATCCGTTCGGGAGCAAGGGGAATGATATGCAATCCAGCTCATACTATTGAAGCAAGAGACAGGTTACTATTCTCTTCCTTCCCCCAGCATCATGGCTCCCGACGTTTTGACACATCAAGATAGCAATTCTGTTTTTGGTCCACATGTAATGACTAAATCAACCTCTCGAGACCCCATGGCTTCAAATCTTTTCCTCCTTCGGTTTGTTCCTTCTCCTGCTTCCGGTATCTATATATGGCCTTCACACTTCACTTTGACATGCTATTCAAACTCCTTTGGGCCTTCTCCTGCAGTCACTGATATTCAAATCCTTGCACTGCAAGTCCCTATCTCAATGCGTCTCGTCCCTTCAAATATCATCAATGTCGTGATCCTCACTTCACATTTGCCTTCAATACTTTCAACCAGAAAGCCCAGATCGTCATTCTACTCCTACAGGATCACAACGTTTTGAAAGAGGCAGTATAGACAGTTGGTAGGCAGCGCGGAGACAGCAGGTGTTCACTACCTACCTGCTGTCCCCTGCAATAAATTCCTATCTCCCTCCCTCATCACCTCTTTTGTTCTTCTTAATCCTCGAATCTTCTCTGCTTTCCTCTCCCATATCTATGTCCATTCCCTTCCTTCCCCGTCTCTCCATACCCCTCACCTCTCCCCTCCCCTCCCCTCCCCTCCCCTCCCCTCCCCTCCCCTCCCCTCCCCTCTCCCCTGAAATCCCTCGCACTCCATCTTTCAACCTACAAGCGTTTTTTGGATGATGACCCACTACCCCCCACCAGCACCTGTTCTTCCATCTACCTACTAGGGACCCCCTACCCCCTTTCCTCCTAGAAATCCTCTCTTTTAACCACCCACCCTTTACGTACCCTGACAGAATGAAATGCACGTGCAAAAACAGATTAGCTAATCAGATTATTTAGTTATGTTTTGGTGAGTCAGGGCCATCCGGCTGATGTCCGGGCCCGGACTCCGGCAACCCGGGAGGGGTAGTTCTGCTCAAGTAAGATGGGGTAATCGCCAGTTTTCGTCAAGTTTCCCTGAATAGTTCGAACCTCCTGCTTCTCCTCAACATTAGGGGTACAATTTAGTGAATTTGGGTGGGTGTAACGTTCCCAAGGTACGAACTTTTGCAGAATACTGAACCTAATGGGATCCAGGGGGGTAGTAGGCGATGAATTGAGGGTGGGGGTGTCATGGACGATTGGGGATAGAAGGGTATGGATGGGGTAGTTGATAGTCAATGGTGGGGTAGGGGTAGGAGCGAAAGGAAGCGGCAACTGGGTGTTGAAGAGGCAGCCTGTCCTCGAAGAGACACTCAGAGATGGTAAGCAGCCCCTTCCATGCATGCGCTCAGGCTGCTTTGCAATGCTCTCTTGTCGATCGTGTGAAATGTGCGACAAGCATGGTGATCGAAGATGTTAGCACATCTTGATCTAGTGGATTTACCGCATGGAATTTTCTTCTGTCGGAGATTGATTTCTCCATTTGGGGATATGCATGAATGTAGTGTTGGAGTTTTCTTATTTTATAGGAGGCGCGTTCTGATATGATCTCTGTTCCCATCGCATGATTTATGATAGCGAAATCTCATTGTTTGCTGTGTTTCTTTCTGTTCAAATTGGTTTGGATCTGTCCTGTAGAGCCATGGTCCTAATAGGCTTGGCATGTAGAATTTTTGTTGTAGAGTCAGTCGTACTTTCATGTTTGTGAGGGAAATCTGTTCACTACTTTCACGTCTCTTTGATTGTAACCTGATGTAATCATGTGAAAAGGATTCCTCGTTGTTGCACAATGCTGACAAAGTAATGACTCTTGGTACAGTTTGTCGGCAGAATCGTCCGCATTGTTCCTGGAGCTCAGCTCATCTACGCTCCCCAGCAGGGCAGCGCCAACTCCCTCTACGACTCTGTCCTCGATGACCACGATGGTGGTGATTCCGCTGGCGTTGCCTCTGGCTTCGACCCCTCCGGCGGAAACCCCAACTTCATGTTCGGAAACGTTTGGGTGAGTGAAATATCAGCGACTGTCTTGGAAAGGTTGCGCTGACTATCTTGCAGGATCCTTAAATGGGCGTGTAGCTGATTGGCAAAAGCAATAGTGCACATTTATCGACAAGTAGTGTTTTGTCGATTATGTACAGTCTTCAAAACTTTGAAAACATCGATTTCGTACATTTTCGCTACCCTCATCTTTCATCTCGCCACTTTTTTCATTGTCGTTGTTATCTATCACGCTTCTTTATTTCGTCTACAACCTCAGTCACACTAACGAACCACGGGGTCCCACTCCAGTACCTCAGCGTCTGCAACCATGGTCGATACTTGCCACCGATGCAATGCATGTGCAGATGTTCCACAGAATGGAACGGCGGCCGATGAAACCCTACTGCTCTGATTTCCACTTGCCTATCACGAAGGAGGAGATCACACACATCGCACATCCTCCTCAATAAAGGAAGATCTTTTCGCGTGAGGGCTGTTATGCTTCCATGATGCTTGACTGGGAGTACGAGGACGTGTACCTCTGCTCTCGGATTCTTCGACTCCATCGCAACGCACACGTCATCCGAGTACAACAACTTGCGATCAGTCTTGCGGGAAGCATACTCACAGAATTTACAATGCAGTTGTCGCATCGTGTTTGCAACGAGCCCTCTTTGCAGTTGTCTCTGGTTGGTATTCCATGTGACATAACCAAGGCCAGTTCTGGTGACATGTAACATCACGTTCTCAGAGGATGAATTCCATACAGGGCCTTCCACGGAAGGACAGGATGGGCAGTTCTCAATAATACCAGCAAGATAAATCACACGAACTCTCTCGATTTAGGGTAACTCTACAATTCAAGCATCGTCCCTGTCCCCTCAGACATCGGATAGCGACACCCGACAACGAGCCCTCTTGGAAGTAGCAGGAGAAAAATCCTCATCATCGTCGTCCCACAGCCTCCTGGGATCGTTCTTCCATCTTCACTCGTGCTCGAATCTTTACCATCCTCGTTCCTGCTCCGGTTCAACCATCTTGGTGGTTCCTCACTCTTCTACCCACCCCCGACTGAAACTGTTTTCTTCTGGAAAATTCGAGGGTGGTCGACAATGTGCGCCATGACAAGCGATCTCGTGGGAGAGCGAGGAGGGCGGAGGAGGTGGAGGAGGCGGAGGAGAAGGAGAAGGCGAAGGAGGAGGGGGATTGTGAGGAAGAATCCAACACAAACGAACACACCGAACACGAGGATGTAGCAATCAGAAGGCAAGGTATTGGTGAAAGATAGAATTTGGATGAAACTGCGTGGTTACTGCTGGGCTGCTGCTGAGGTTTGCGAATCTCGACTGAGAAGGAATATTGCAAGGGCAGAGGAGGTGATGCAGCGTGAATGCAGTTGATGTTGGTTCTCTTGCGAATGGATCTCATGTCGCAAGATTTTGAGATCCAACAAGAATGAAATGGTTACTGTCACTCGCTAGGCCACGTACGAAGTGCAGGCTATTTGACCATGAAAACACACCCCATTCGAGCATTATTGCTAGCACAAGTTTCTAGGGAAGAAATAGTGCGATGGCCAATCGAAGGTAGCCACCTGGAAGGCTGTAGCTATGTGAAGTGAAATGTTGGACAGTGCAATGTCACAACACAACGATACATCCTTCAGAGTAGGGGTTGGAGGATAGAGTGTCCTGATCTCATCTATCCTCTATCCATCAACCCCAGCGATCGCTTTTCCTGTGAGCCTCGAGCATTTGAGAATTTTTTGCAGGTGCGGGTCAAGCCAGCCGTGCGCTTGATCGGGTGAGGTGAAGTTACGGGAGGTGCCAGAGAACAGATTCGTTGTGAGCATTGCACAGAGCAGGACGAGATGTCCTCCAACACGTTGTCAGAGAAGGAGGCGCGAGAGATGAAAGCGAAGCTCGAAAAGGTTCTCTCCGCTCCTGTGCTGACGTCCCCCGGGTGACCCGTTGGCGCAAGGACGGGGTAGACGTGAACACCGTTCGAGATATCTTGACTCTCCTCATGGTGATGGAGCGACGTCAGGAGGTCAGAGGACTCTGACAGGTCCTGGCAGGACAAGGAGGTGCCCGTCCAGGTCTTGATCGAGACCAAGATCGGAGTGACGGTGAAGGTAAGTGCACCCGAACGAGCTGCCGGATGCTAAGCCATGCGCGAGCAGAGCAAGCGAAGCGACGACGACAGGAAGGTCAGGCTGTTGTCGTCGTGCCTGTTAAGACATCTCATCCCTCCCTGTCCAGGTTGCGAAGCTTGCCTCGGAGCTCACCTCCAAGTGGAAAGAAGTCGTCGCTCGTTCCCGCCAGCCCGGCAGCAGCGCTGCTGGCCAGGAGAAGCCCAACAAGTCAGGTAGGGAGAGGGCGAGGCTGGCGGGTCTTCTAGTGTCTCAGCCTCTTGTCCCGCCCTGATCGTTGAGCAGCTGCGGGCGAAGGCTCCAACGGGAAGGAGAAGGTGAAGAGCGAGGACAAGGTCACCAAGAAGCCTGCGGAGCCCGTGGACGGCAAGAGGCTCAAGGTTCCCCGTGCTGTTCCTTTAGTCCTGCTGTGACTTGGCCTGCAGGTACGAGAGCTCTTCGAGAAGGCCTTCGCGGACTGGAAGGGAGAGTCCGACGTGGACAGGAAGGACCTGTCGGCGCGCATTGAGTCGGTTGTCGGCAGGAGGGGTCGGGGGTGTTTGAACCCTTACTGTGCAAGCAGGCGATGTACGAGCACTTTGGAGGAGCGAACGAGCAGGTCTCTTGTGTCTCATCCTCCTCCCCTCGCGCGCTGACGCCTCCTGCTCGCTTCTCAGTACCTCAACCATGCCAAGTCCGTCAAGTTCAACTTGTCGGATCCCAAGAACCCGGACTTCCGCTCTAAGGTGCAGCTCGTCGTGCCGTTTTTTGGTCGAGTGACTGTGAACACTCCTCGCAGGTCATTTTCGGGGACATCGATGCGGAGGAGATTCCCAAGCTCAGCAGCGGCCAGATGGCTGGGAAGGTGCTGGACTGCTCTCCTGCTGCTTCACCTCAACTCACTCGCCATCACTCCCCTGTTTCATCTGTCAGCTCAACACTCCTTCTTCCTCTTCCTCTTCTTCCACTTCTCTTCCTCTTCCTCTTCCTCTTCCTCTTCCTCTTCTCTTGTCTTCGATTCTTATTTGTACGCCGCAGGACAAGATTGAGCAGAAGAAGGCCAACAAGGAGGACAAGATCTTCCAAGACAAGGTGAAGTCAGCTGACGAGAGCTGCACACCCTTCAGATCGGGTTCATGACTGCCTCTTCTCTTCTCTAGATGTTCATCACTGCTGGGAACCTCGGAGCTGAGTCGGACATGTTTCAGTGCCGCAAGTGCAAACAAAAGAGGACCACGTGAGACAGTGTTCTCCTTCACTCCTTCTCTGACATCTTCTTGCCAGCTTCTATCAGAAGCAAACTCGATCTGCAGATGAGCCCATGACGGTATCCTCCCCCTCCTCCTCCCCCTCCTCCTCCTCATCTCTCGCATCCCCCGGCAGGCTGAGCTGCCGCTGCTGCAGGTTTTCATCACGTGCAAGAACTGCGGGCACGAGTGGCGAGACGGCGGCTGAGGCTCCTCAGCCCCCCCCCCCCTCCCGGCACTTGCTATGACGACACCGGCATCATCGCAAGTCGCTTCAACTCTTTTGCCAAGCTTTCAGACATGGAGCCACCAGCCTGAGCCAGCGCCCACAGACTGTCCGTGATGTCCTCCCCCGTGAAGCCCTGCACCATCTTCCCCGCCTGCTTCTTCAGCCCCTCATACAGCTCCTCGTCCGTCCTGCTGCGGATCCCCTGCTCCGCGACTGATCGCATCGTCCTGCTGATCTCTCGTGCCTGCATGCTGGGGATGAGGCCGATGGCACGCTGCTTCAGCTTCTCGCTAAACTCTCCTGCTGCTCCTGCTGCTCCTCCTCCTCCTCCTCCTCTCCCCCCCGTTGATCGGCCCATCCCCCCAAGGATGTCCGCTACCTCGTCCGCACTGTAAGCCCCGACAAGCTCCTGCCCGCGCCCTACCAGCCGGTCGCTGAGCCCGGCTCCTCCCAGCGCCTCCTCGCCCACCTGCCCGAGAGACCAGAAGAGCATCGCGACCTCCTTGCAGCCCAGCTCCCCCGCCAGCTCGTCCCGCACCAGACGCCTCGCGACGCTGCTCAGGAGCTGGGAGCTCTTGCTGGAGTCGCCACTGCCGTCGGCCGCTGCCGTTGCCGGCTCCGCTCCGCTGCCGGTGCTGCTGCCGGTGCTGCTGCCGGTGCCGGTGCTGCTGCCGGTGCTGCAGGAGCGGCGGGGGCCTGCTGGGCACCGGAGGAAGCTGAGCTGAGCCGGACGAGAGCCCAGGCGACGCGAGCGACGTCCCTGCCGGAGAAGAGATCGCTGACCTGAGCGGCGCGATCACAAAGTCGGAGGATGACGTCATCGTTGACGGAGAAGTGGAGTCTCGCGAGAGCCTGTAGGAGGAGGGCGACGTGAGGAGGAGGGAGGGAGGAGGAGGCAGCAGCGATCTTGCTTGAGAGGTCAGCAAGGTATTTGTCGTTCCCGTTGGTCGTCAGCAGCGAGAAAGCCTCCAACACTCTGCATGCTTGTGATGTAGTCAAGTCGTTCACTGGGGGGAGCAAGGGAAGAAGATGCTCCTTGGCTCTAGAGCTGCTTGCGTTGCTGCCCTTGTAGCCGATGACCGCGACGGACCAGAAGAGGTCGGCGAACTGGCAGGGAGCGGGAAGCGATATCTCCTCAACCATCCTGCTCATCAAGACCTCCACAAGCATCATGCCAGACTTTCTTCGAAGATCAGGCCGCATGCTCTCCTCTTCATGCCCCTGACGTGTTGGGTGCAACCCCATGCCAGCTGGAGGCCTGCAGGGCTTGGCCAGCAGGTCTGGAGTCTCCAGCATGGGCAAGAAGCTCTTGCGGAAGGCGTTTGGCTTCTCCTCACCTCCCTTCCTCCTCCACGTCTCCGACGTCTCCACCCCGGTAGCTGGTCGGAGCATCCCGGAGCCGTGAAAGTCGTAAGGCATCCCGCAGAGCTCGCAGGTGTTGTCTCGGGCCACATTGCGATTGGGAATGAACACAGGGCAGGTCAGCGCCATGGCTGTCGTCCGAACTATTCCGATCTGATCACGCACATGTTGCTTGTGTTGGGTACCTCGCTTCCCTCCCTTCGTCCTTCAAAACGATGTCTGCCATGACTAGTTCGGTTCTAGCGCGGGCCTTCACTTGCTCTAACGATCAACAAAGTCAGAGAGAAACAACCTCCGTCAGCCTTGTCGACCTTCCTGTCCTTCCTCTCTGCCTCCCTACCCCAGCTTCTTCCTCAGTGGGCCTTGCCTTGCTTGTCCGATCATGCCTGCCTGCCTGCCTGCCTTCACGGTGCTCAGCCTAGTATCTGCTTCCTGTCTCTCCCTCCCTCTCTCACTGCGCCTGCATTGCTACCGTCCCGCCTAACTGACCGGTAGAAGCCCGGCAACGACACCCGGAGGCTTCCGAATCCTTGAAACCCGGACCCGCCTCAGCTGAGACGGTCAAGGAGTGGCCCGGTCCGGGCCCCGGCCCGACCGCCCGCGGCCGGTACGGAGTACGGTACTACCGTACGTACCGGGGGGCCGGGCCGGGGTCCCCCGGGCCCCGCCGCCGGGCCCGACTCGGCGAGCGGCGGATCCGATCGGAGGCTCAGTCCGTGACTCGGCGGAGGCTCCCGACGCGGAGCCCGCCGGGCCGGCCGCCGCGACCGGCGACTCGGACCTGGCCGTGCGGCTAAGCCGGCGCGGCCGGCGGACGGACTCACCGCGGGGCCGGCGCGGCGGCACCGCAATGGCATGGCCGCGCAGTCACCGTGCGAGTCACGGAACGCCGGACCGTGCCACGCGACGTCTGATGTCCGACGGTCCTATCATCCTGGAGCCTGGCAGCAGCACTGCGCGGCGGCTTTGTGTGACGGACCGCCCGGCCGGTCCGACGGTCCGACGGGTCTCAGGCTCCCGCCCGGCCGCCGGCCGCCGGAACTCGCCGAGTCCGAGCGGTTCACGGTTCAACGGTTGGAAACTTGATCGGAACGAATTTTGCAGTTGGCAAACCCGCCGGGCTGCGCATTCCGCGGCTCAGTGCCAGAAAGTAACTCCTTCACTGATCGGACTGACGATGATCCGATGATCATCGGCGGGATAGCCGGCCTGACCAAGACGGTAAGACCGTCATGCCGTTCACAAGGCCATATGCAGGCTCTAGCAAAATTGGTCTTTTTTTTTCTCCTTGGGAAGGGGTTCATATATACACTTCCATTCAGCTACCCCGGTTTTTGCTCTCTTACTGGGGGGTAGTGAGACAGGGATAAAGTAGGGTGGGGTGATTTGAATTATACTGGCGTGGTACCCTGTCCCCCGCCTTACTTTTTGAAGCACTTCATTTTAATTGTTTAGTCAGCGCTTCAATCGTACACATCTATGTACGGATGAAGTGCCTCTGGTACAGTCTGTACTATTCTTGTAAAGTGGTTTCGACAGGCGTCTCGAATCAGCCTCCACCCTAGTGACTTCCTTTGTCTGGAGGGGTAGAGGACCGAAAGATTCTCTCATACCCGTGCATTTCACTGTATCACGGTACGTGGGGGTGCTAATGGAAAAGAAGGCATTTCGATTGCCGTTGGAGCTCACCACGCCAATACCCCCGGTTCCCCTTCATCACCTTTACGAAAGGCGGGGTGGGTAGCTAGCAAAGAATACAAATCTACCCTTTGATTCAAGAGTTTGAAATTGGGAAATAGGGGGTAGGGTGCTATCTCCACTCTCCTTTCCCCAAATCCCCCCTCCCTGGGCAAGCAAGAGATGGCTGATTGATCCTTCACCCGCATGCAACGACAAGTCATCATGGTGAGAGGCTTCGAATCTATTGCTGCTTGAATGTGGATGAGAATTTAATCGTCTAATGTATCCATGTAGATAGACTAAAACCTTTTCTTAGTCTCTGACTTTGAAAGAAAGTTTTGAATTCCGCTTCTATTACATGACTGCATGACAGAGAAAGCTGTCTAGGAATGAAGATGTCTTTAGAATACATTGCAAAAGATGAATACACCTTTTCTGCTCTCTTATTCCTTGTTTCAAGCATGAGAGCCGTATGTACGAGGATTCAGAGAGGAAGTATGGTTTACAATGCTGCACCATCAGTTTGCAAATGAGGTGCTTTCATGCACTCCAATCTTGCAAATATGCTAGAAACATTCAAGTATTTGCAGTTCAGATCCTCAAAAGCAACATCTTCACATTATTTCTGCTTGAGCATGCATTCAAAATGCTCAAGGATCAACATGCTCCACGTAGCTGCGGCGACATGGAAAGTCTGTTTCAACCACAGGATGAGAATCCTACAGCAATCAATGTGGCTTACTAGAGCTACAAGCATACATTGTGCATAATTAGGTTTATTTGCAACTTTTTGATGTATCTCTGCTATGCAGGCACAACGAAGAAACCAATGTGAAGCTTATTGTGCTGACCATTGCGCATGTATTTGATGCTACTTGCGGTTGTCATTGTAATTAGATTGTTGCAAAGAATGATACCTCATTAGATTGTTGCAAAGAATGATACCTCATGAATTTATAAAGATTTCTGCAATCAGATCACTACCACTTGTGATGTCGATCCCAAGCTTACAGTGAGTCGGAATGGTCTACAGGGGAAGCGAAGTTTTCATCATCATTCAACCCCTGCATGCATTCTGCATTTATGTGAAATGAAAGAAGATACAGAAATGCTCTTTCGCACGGCCTCGAATGCAAGACTGAGATCACTTTATTTCACAATAGAACAAATAATACATGTGTGCATACTGTGTTGACGGTTCAAATGTCCGACATCACAGCTAGATGAACGCTCAAAACTAATCCCACGCATCAAGAAATCAACACACTCTGCAAATCTCAGAAGTGGAGACTCTCGACGGTGTTCAAGGCTTAAGATGTCTTGATTGCCTCTGGCGGCATCAGTGTTTACATGCAATCAAACATCCTCACTGCCGTAGGCGAAATGCATGCAGAAATCTTGTGAAACAATCTATGCAATGCTTGATGTCTAATATAACAAGTGGGCTTGACTAATTACGTGGATCTGCAACCGTGATGATGCAATCTCCATCAAACAAATCTTCAAGGCATCGCATGTGGAAAATATGCAATTCAAAAATCATTCATCGCAGGGAAGTATCTTATGATTATTCTGCGCTGCCATAAGGTTGGTGTCAAGTCAAAATGACAAGCGATCTCCTACACTGGATTCAAACCTCATGTTTTCATCATCTTGTTCTTCATAATAACCTTTTGAACCATGGATCTCACAACGCCATTGCTGCACACTCTGTTGTCACCGAACGCATCACCACGAACCTAGCGGTCTCAGGTCTCAAACTGTGCTGACTAGAGAGCTTCAACCTAACAGAGCCTTGCATGCTGAGATGTGATGCTGGCTACAGCAGCGGATGGTCTTACAGCGGCATCGTTGGAGGAGCAGCTTTGGTGCTACGTGCCGGCGTGTAGGGGAGACATGAGTCGGGCGTGTACGGGGTTGAAAACATTTCAACCCTCTGAAATGAAAGTTAAAATACATGTAAAGGCCTAGCAGAAATGATAACTAAACTGCACTGGTACTCTTTGGAGGTATCTCTTGCTGCCGTTGAAAACTTGTTTGAATTCACACGCCACCCCAAAAAAAACTTTCTCGAAAAGAAGAGTGGAAATTAACGAAAGGGCTAAAAGTTAGTGAACGGTACCGTACCGTACCGTACTACTGTCACGGGGCCTGGATTAACAGTATGATAGTTACTACTGGCGCGGGTCGGAGTTACAATACGGTACTAGATCTGAAAGGGTCAGGCCGGCTCATAGGAGCCATGTTCCGAACATCATCATCATGGCATCAGAGAGTCGAATATAGCACTGTTCGGGTCAGACGCTTGAAAACTGAGAGGGGGCGGCACACGTTGACTGTATGATGATGACAGCAGTGAATTGCTCTATATAAGGCGGCACGTACAGTTGCCTCTATAACGGGCAGCAACTTCAGTAGTAAACTAATCGGTCGTATCTCCTTCCGGCTCCTTGGAGTAAGTTAAGTTGTGCGGTGGTAAAGTTATGACCCCACCCATCAATATCCCCGATTGGATGCTGACAAGCACCGGTGCCTAGTACTCCCCCAATTTGCTCAAAAAGGGGCCCCGCAAGCATCGTCGCTCATCCTCCTGGCAGGCAGACACCATGGTCAGGCTCTCCTCTTGTTCCTCTCCCGTCGAGGAGGCCATGAGCTCTCTCACTCCCTCCTCCTCCTCCTCCTCGCTATCTTCCTCCTGCCCTCCTGTCACGCTCGATACCTGGCAGCGGCAGCCCTCCTTTGGCGAGCTGGGCCTGTGCAACCAAGGGAGCGACATGGACTTGCTGTCAGATCACATGGAGCTGTTGTCGACCAACGGGTCTCCTCGCTCACAGTCAATCAAGTCGGAGTCATGTGACTGGGTTGAGGAAGATGGGATTAGCCCTGGGGAATACAGGGAGAGGCAGCTCAAGGCTCTGGAGTACTGCATCGCCCTCCTATCTCAACAAGACCGTCCAGCCATATATGGGGCAACAGGCGAGAGGATTGCTCTCTGAGGAGAGCGAAGAAAGAAGAAAAATGAAAAAAGAAAAGAAGGAAAGCTTCTAATGCTACTTCAGAATTGTTATATTATGGTGTACTAGTATTGTTGTGAATAGATCCATGCCTCTTCTCTGGCATGAATAGATCAGTAGTCGTAGTTCGATCTACCTATGGATGATAACGTGTATTGATAGTATTTAACGCGAAATGATGCAGTAAACTTAAACTTAATATCTTTCGACTTGTGCCAACTGAATCTCAGCGCAAGTTTTCTTAACATTCCATTCCTTGTCTGCCCGCATCCCGATCAAACATCAAAAGACAGCTGAGTGAAGCAAAGGACAGGTGAAGGAGCTTGACGAGTCCAGCAGAGTTTCAGCTGGAACCGTGAGAGTGGATGAGAGGTGAAGCGAGACTTTGTTCGCGCGATTCTCTTGTGAGTGAACTCTTAACGCTACGGCCTGCCTCCGGGAGTTGAGTGGTCACCATTCTGGGGTCAAACCGCGGTAGTCGAACTTAACGCAAAAGAGGAATGCGTATGCTGTTCTCATAGGATACCGGTGGTAGTGTACCCCTTGGTTTTTGAGGGGTGTTGCTCGGTAATATCAGTGGTAGGGGTGCTTCATATTTTGAACTGGCGTGTCCATTTGTTTTAACGACAATGAATTGTTTATTCGAATACATAGTACAAACAGTTGTACTGTGTAACGGTTCATAACTGCTAATTTGTATCATCTAAAACAATTTTGATGACCCACCCTCATCGACAGGGTGGGGAAACGCTCCCCATCATTCCCATCGTCAATCGCACACCGACATGCTGAGCCGCCGGGCGAGCACAGCAGCAAGGTCAACGAGCTGCCGCCATGAGCACAGATGAAGGACCGCCGAGTAAGAAGATGATCGCAAGGTACACTTGGCATCAAGAATCCAGCACAAATTCTTACTTGGTGATCTTGCAGAAGTGGATCAATCAGCATGAGTTCGTCATCCTACATTTCCGACGACTAAGTCAATCGTATCATCAATGTTCTCTTCAAGACTTCTGGGCTCTCAGAGTAATGTACTTTATCTAAAGACTCTCATGAACTGAATGATAATATCTGTAAGATCATGACGAGTCCGCTTAATTAAGGCGCAATCACATCTCACTTGACCCCCTCCTTGGCACGTCTTCTGTACGCTTCGTTACATCGTTGCTTCACATCTTCAGAACTTGAAGTTTGATGATATTTGATTCTTTAAAATATGCCAATTAGTTGACTCTGAGTCACGAAGCTCTTGTTGAAGTATCTTCCCTCCTCTCTCCAAACTCTCCTCACTCAGGTCCTTTGGATGTTTGCACATTTGCTGAAATGCATGAACTTTGCTTTGCTTCCCTAAAGGCGGAGCTTGACGTCCAATTAAGCCTCAGATCATATCAGGGATCAAGTCTTGAGCTTGTAAGCTGGCATGCAAGAATCTATTGTGCGTTGCAACCAGACTGACATGGCCGCGTTGAATGTAGAATCAAGGTTGGAGGTGTTATGTGATTTGACATTTCTTATTCATTAGAAGCATTTATCTCAGCATGTCGAACTACCAGCAAATTGACACGGACTCCCAGTCAATGATAATGACAACCACAATAGCATATGGAATGTCTCCAACTGCGCGCACAACAGAATGGAAGCACATCATGCTGCAGGTGCACTGCCATCCAACACCGTGCCGTTGGATTTGCTGTCTTCAAGAGTTGTCTACATTGTTTGTCATAAAGCGGCAAGGCTTTGAGCATGTGGACATGGATATATACAAGACTATGCATCTTTACAAAGTGTTTTTAAGTCATGCAACAAGAGATGCATCATTCAAAGGCGGAGAAGTTCAAACATGATGTGAAAAAGTCATGTGGCACAGTGAAGCATCTCTCATAAATATGATATTCCATCCAGCACATGAAGATGAAGGTCTTCGTGGAATAAAGGTCTTGGAATCTTGTAATACGTTTCAGCTGCAACCATTCAGAACCTAGTTCTCAACATCGCCAAGCTTTTGCTACCTGTTCACAACGATTAGAAAATGAACAATCCACAGAAGAACTCTCTACCTGTGTGATGGAATGGGTTCATTTTCACCTTCTTCTCTCACAAAATACTTTCGAGTCTCTTCATGCTCGTGTGTGTTCGTGGTATACTCGTCCCCTTCCATAGAAACAGACAACCGGCACAGAGGTTTTGACGAAGAGAGATGTTGATGAGGCTCACCTGCTGCGAGTGACTGCAACTTGGGCAAACATGCTCGCACAAAACTCAAACACTGAAGACAAGGATCGGCAGAGAAGAGCTTCGCGACATGAGAGAGGTATGGTGAGGGGAGACGCGCTGGGGTAGTGGGTGAAGGCGTGTAGAATTAAAACATTTTAGAAGGTACCAGGAAACGATGAGCTAAACATCCAAAATCAATTTTAATCACGGTTTTGAATATGGTTTGAATTTGAACAGTACAAAATTTCAACCTGCGCGAATCACACACCGTGTACCCCCATTTTCCCATTCACCACCCCCTTGAGAATATAGGACGAAAACTACCGCGGTTTGACCCCAGAATGGGCAAAATTTCAACCTGCGCGAATCACACACCGTGTACCCCCATTTTCCCATTCACCACCCCCTTGAGAATATAGGACGAAAACTACCGCGGTTTGACCCCGGGTTCGGCCCCAACACCGCGGGGAGTTGCTGCCCTGGTTTCCCTCTGAGTGGGAGCCTTCAGCGTCTATCGGTCCCTCACTTCATCCTCTCCCTGTGAGGTCCCTCTTGTCCCTTGAGCTTCTCTACTGCGGCATGTAGGATGATTTTCTCTGTTGCTGATTCACCTGTCGTTCCTTCTTGTCACATGTCTGTGACTTATCTGTGCAAGCGTTCTACAATAGTTTCGGGCTCAACCTGCTACTCCGGCTTCTTCAGGTACACGACAATGGCAGTGATGTTGTCGTCGCTGCCAGCCTGCCACATCATAATCAAGAGGGATCTTCCCAGTTCTCAGTCCACATCGTGGAGGATACCTCATACGCCTCTGAGATCAGTCGCTTGGGGCCGAAGTCGACATGCTTCACTGTCTGCGCTACCTGTTGCAGAACTACTCAGGGCTGGCTGAGGAAGCAGCAACGAGTCGGTTCCTTGTCCACGGCATCTTCATTAGTGAGCCATCCCCAGATCCCGTCGGTTGCGAGCACCAGGAACTTGTCTTGACTCGAGAGCCGATATCTCCCCACCTGCTCTCCTCGTCAGCTGCTGCCTTGCTCGAAGGTGCCTGGGACCTCTGGGATGCACGAGACGCCCCTGCTCTTCCACCTGCGGGTGACAGTCATACTGGTGACGTCATCACGTGCTGGGGCGTGCCTGCGGTCGCCGATAGAGCGAGTGACTTCGATCCTCCCGTCCACTCGTTTCTGTTGCAACATGTCATCCTAGTCAAGTGGGCCTGCTGTCACCTTCTTGTCCGCCGTCTCAACCACTGTCCCTCCTTCCGCCACAACTCTCTTCTCCTCCTCCTCGTTGGACGCGTTGTGGTCCCTCGAAAGCTGCAGCACCTGTTCCCCACGAGCAAGCACGGCCCGACAATCTCCTGCATTTGCCACCAGCATGTCAAGACCTGCCGTCCCGTCCTTGTCTCCGGGCCCTTGCATGATGGCCACCACCATAGCTGTGCACCCTGAATCGTTGTCGGCAGCCTGCGCCCACGAGAGGAAAGAAGCCTCCACGCGCTGAAAGGCAGTCTTCATCGCTTCCTCCAGGTTCTTGGGGTTTTCCTTCATGGCTGCGACAACTTCGTAGGGGAAGGCCTGGTAAGCGTCAGCAGGCATCGGCATGCGCTAAGGGCCCCGACCTTCTTGCAGTAGGAAGCAGCTTCCGGTCCGCCATGGCCATCGAACACGCCGAACAGATGCAGGGCCCCGGCCTCGACCTCCATGGCGATGGACTGATGCACAAAGTGCGCGTCCTCCATCTTGTCATGACCTCTCCTGCCGCACGAAGAGCTTCCTCCTCCCCAGACAAAAGCCGAGGGCGGCAGTTGGGGGACAAGGTGGACCGTCACGTTGGCATCGTAGTGGGGGATGTAGGGTGACTTCCCTTGTAGGACTTCAATCGCCGACGTCGACATGCTCGGCTCCTTCTCAACTTCCGTCCTGCACTCTGGCGGACGCAACTCTGCCATCCTCCGTATCCTCTCCGACATGTCGGTCGGGTCCAAGCCAGCAGCTCGGCCGAGCTCCTCCAACCTTTCCCTCAAGCTTGCAACCTCTGGGCGCTAGAAACGATCAGGACTGCACCCCAACCACCCCTCCCCCTCCCTTCCTCCTCTACCTCCTCCTCTTCCTCCTCCTCTCTCCCCTTCCTCAACAGACCTTGGAAGTGTTGTCTTGCCATCCGGCCGCCACGATCTCACAGAACTGGGAGACCCATGGTCCGTCCCCCTCCTCGGGCAACTTGGGCCTTAAGTGCTCGCTCACTATCGCAGCCGTGAGGGTGATCTCCGTATAGTTCGCCTCCAGCACAGTGTGCAGCTGCTCCGTCGTAGTCCGCACGTCAGAGTAAGGGATACATCCCGTTACAAGCTCGTTCATCGTGATAGTCATCGAGTACACGTCCGACGCCTTCTCGAACGGCCTCTTCCGAAGCAGCTCTGGCGCCATGTACACCAGGGTACCGACCATGTAGTCCTTGTGCCAGCCCCCGGACGGCCCTCTCCTCCTTTCCTCCTCCACCTTGGTGCTCATGTGGCAAGATCGGTCGAAGTCAATGAGCTGCACGTGACCCGTGTCCATCAGGATCGCATTGGCCGGCTTGACGTCCCTGTGGAAGAAGCTCATGGCGTCGTGAAGGTACTCCAGGGCCGAGCACATGTCGTGTGAGAACCCGATGGCGAGCGCAAACCCTAGGGGCCTGCTTCCTCCCGAGTGCAGCAGCTCAGCCAGGCTGCCATGGGAGGACAGGGGGAGGAGCAGACCGTACTCGGGAGCGGTCTCGAGGATCCCCAAGGGCTTCACGATGTTGGGATGGGAGAAGGACGAGAGGCAGTCCCTCTCACGCTCAAACCTGTTGAAGGCAGCGTAGTTACTTATCTTGATTCTCTTCAGCGCAACGCTCTGCCTCCCCTGCAGCATGTCCACATGAGCGGAAATCAGGGGTCTACCATTTGTACCTTGGCCGGGATCTCAACGTAGCATCGGGTCACAGTGCACGCGTCGCTGTCATGCAGGAGATCATTGTGACCTCCTGCAGGCTGGATCCACTCCTTCTGTATCGGCTGAATGTTTCCCTCCTTCATCGCCTGATTCATGGTGAGACAAATCGGCACTTGGCAGCTTTTCGTTTCTGGCTTCTTGTCCTCCTGCTCGCTAGTACCCTTGTTCTCATCACCCTACATCTCGGATTGCTTTCTAGCCTGCTATCGTGCTCTATCGTGCTCTATCGTGCTCTATCGTGCTCTATCGTGCTCTATCGTGCTCTATCGTACCATCGTGGATCTCCCCATGTTCTGTCCATCCCTCCACCCCTGCGGTTCTGCTGCCATCGCAGTCTCGCATGTCAGCAGATTTCCTTACTTTCCGGGTGGAATGGAGGCCGAACGAAGTTTGAGACTTCGAAAGTTTGTCGGGAAAGTTTCAAAGTTTCTTCCGAAGTGAAGTTCGACAAAGTTTTTTAAATCTTCTTCATTTCTAGCATCTCTTTTACTACACAAATCTCAAGATCGCTAGCCGAAACAGTCAAAAGCTTACGCGGAGTGGGTGGGTGGATACAGGAATGGGTCGCCATTGACTTCTACCACACCATGGGGCCTACAGCTCTCATTTACTATGTACAGTCTCGATATGGATAGGCCATCATCGTTGCTCGTGAGTGCAATGTAAGTGTTGTTCATAGGCGTAAGTGGGGTGGGTGGTCCATTTGGCTGCCTTGATTTTCCGTGGGTTGAAGTGTACTGCAGTTTACGTGTACCACTTGACCTGTAAACATCTGGTAATGTTTATTTACAACCATTATACAGGTACCGATTTCTAAAATGTTGTTTTAAGAATTGTACAAAAGATTATATTTATGACTTATTATAAAATTGACCTGTCCCCCCACGACGGTGGTGGGAGCGCATGAGAAGACAATGTTGGGTAGGGTGATTTTAGGGGTAAAATCAGGGGTTCTGAGTGGGAGTCAAAACTCACTTTTCGAAAACAAGTCTTTTGAAAAACTATTATCTTGATATTATCCCAGTTTTTAGGTTGCAATCAGTTCTTCACAAATCTTCCTCTCAAATTCAAAAATCTCATACTCATTTCAAATATTTTCAAGGTTTAAAACAATTGGAGTGACACCGCTCAGATTCTTTCTGCTGAAGGGCGCTAGGTACCAGGAATTGTAAAGATAGTACAACGTGTTTTAGATTTATGTTCAGGCACCTATAAAATGTTAAATGTTTCTAATTTTGTAATCCCTTTCAACACTTTGGCGAGTCGCAAGAAGCCGTGACAAGTCCATCAATACATTTTTAAAACTCATATATAGCTTTTAAAATACATCAGTTAGCTGGGTGGTGGCATGGGACAGGTAAAAGGGGGGGTAGGGTATCACCTCGAGATTTAAGGACGAAAGAGACACAACCCTATGATAGGAGACTTCTGGGTTAAATCGGGTTAAGTTAAGAGGAATGTTCTTAAATTGGGAGGATTTGATCTAAATTATGGGGGAAAAGAGCTAAGCTTGGCAAGAAGAGGGCTAAAACAGCGCTGCATGAGCGAGCAGCCAGGCAGCGCTCATGCTCAGAGGAGAGTCCGGGTGGGAGGGGAGTTGGCGGCCAACGACACGGATGTGGAGGATGCGATGCAGAGTAGGGAGAAAGGAAGTCATCTGTGATAGTGTGAGGGTGTAGAAGTGAGAGGATTTTGACCGGCGGAGCTCGGCAGGAAGTTTTCAGGTGTGCGTGCAATTGCGGTGATTCAGGGAGTCCAGGCACCAAGGAGGACGAGCGCAGGCTATCAAGATGTGGATATAAGAGAACGTTGAGCCAGGGAGAGATATAGAACTCGAGAAAGCGGGCATATGGAGAGCTCAAACAGCAGTAATGCTTTTGAACTCAATGCCTTTCATCTCTTGGTTTCCAACTCTTTGTGCTATTAGTTGATGCGTTACGAACACAGCAATCATTTTGCTCGCTCTTACCGACTCTTCATCACTGCTCCTGTTTGTTCAAGTAGCTGATATATTCCTTTTTGTAGTGAATCTGCGCAAGGGCGTCTTTAAGTTTGCGACAAAGAGCACTTGGAGGGCTTCTTTTTGCAGCAGGACCTCTCATTGAAGACCGACTCTGCTGAGCATGAAGAGCACGAGCAACACCGTGCTCACAGATGAAGAGGTGCTGCATTCTGGCTGGGGTTGAAAGCCAGAGGACGTGACAGGCGTGTGATGCAGATCATCACTGTGTACTCGCTGAGATCAAAGGCGACGTCCTCCGGCAGTCTGGTGAAGGAGCTCTGCTTCCTCCGACGCATTCTGACGCTTCCTCTCGTTCAGACTCACCAGGCTGCTGCTGGTCGTAGCGCGGTCGTTGCAGAGATGTTCAAAGTATCTCCGAACCTGGTGAGGCAGCTGCTGGAGACAAGCTGGCTGCGCTGATGCTCGTGCCAGGTTCGAGACCTCTGGGCGCGGAAGGTGTACAGGTGAGCGCTGGATGGGAGGAGGAGAGGAGGAGAGGAGGAGAGGAGGAGAGGAGGAGAGGAGGAGAGGAGACGTGCTGACTCCCTGGCTTCAGAGAGGTCACCCTCCCTTACTGGACGGAAAGGGAGAAAGTGCTGAGCGCATGCGAGGAGGTAAAGCATGTGCCTCAGTTCGCTCCCGCCTCACCTCTTCCGCAGCTGAGGTCTGGGCAGACGACGAGCCTGCTGGCCCTGCCTCCCAATCTGAGTACGCCATCCCTTACATTACGAGGGCTGCGATGTGACTGTGTTGGCAGCGAAAGGGAAAGCGAAGAATGCTGACAAGCGAACGGCAACGGTGAATACGAGCATCGTCATTGAAAAACAAAAGTGAGGAGAAAATGCTGCTCCTCATCCCCTCCCTCTCTCTTATATTCACTTTGTTCTTGAGCAGTAGCTTCAAGGATTCATCTCCTATCGAAAGGAAGGAAGCGGTCAGTCTCAACGATCAGGAAACGAACAAGAGGAGACTGGTAGCGGACAACGCACATGTACGCTCCTCCTCTTCCAGTGCGTTTGAGTCTCATCCCTGATCTTCAGGTCCCTGTGAATCTGATTGGAAATGGAGCAAGTCAAGTTCCTTTTGAAGCAAGGTGAAATTGAGTTTCCATCCTCAACGAGATGAACTTGAAATTCCATCCTCAACTTGGTTGTTGTGGTGGTCGTGCTGATGTCGATTGAAGCAGACCAAGGGGTTTGCGCGCCTCTCCGCAGGTAGAGTTTTTTCCAGCCCCCAGTCCGTTGGCATCAGGTTTGACTGCAAACCTGCGACATGCTCTGATCTGACCGCCCGTAGCAGACTCCTTCCTCCCCGTCAAGAGGGGGCACGACGATACTCATCGCGCGAAATTCCAGCCAAGGAGCTGCCCCGACGCGTCCTCCTACCTCCCTTCTGTTGAGATCAACGACTCACCGGAAGAGGAGGGTGTCCAGCACAACTCGTACTTTGAGGACCTCATTTTCTCCTCCAAGCCGCAGGAGGGATGCAGCAACTTGTCTAGTGCGTACGAGGAGTTATGCAGCGTGGAGATCAGCGCGGAGGAGATGGCAGGCAGCAGCAACGACGGGCGGGCAAACGTCGAACCTAACAACTCTCGCTTCGATGGGTTCTGGAGTGGCGGTGCCAACGAAGCCCACCACCATCAAACCCACGAGGGCACGATTAAGGATGCGGCAGCAACGAGGCCGGCACAATCTGGCGGGAGCTACTACAACAAGGTCCCATATGCGCATCAGGATGGTTTCTTCGACTTTGACAGCAGCGTCGCTCGCTACGATCATGCAGAATGTTGTTCTCCCGCCCTCAGCGACAGGCAGCAGTTCGACATGTCAGAGTCAATGATGAGGAACGAGCCATTGAAGCAGAACGGCTCTACTGCCATGCCTGGCAGCTTCTACTGCAGCCCCGCCCCTCCTTCGTGCAAGGCGGAGCAGAGTACGCAGTTCTTTGACCAACGTGCATGGACGGCCTACCCGCCAACGAATGCCCCCTCCATGTCGGGCTTGCAGGAGGAGCGAGGAGCTGCATGGGATCGCTCTGCCTCCTGCCCCTCTTACTCGGACAACGAGCTGTATGCGCAATCGTTGAACTCGTATGTCTCCTCTCCTCCCTGCTGCTTTCCTCTCTCTTTCCCTTGTTCCTTGCCCTCTCCTCTGCCTAACTGCTCCTCATCCCTCAATGCTGTAGAGCTACTTCCAAGTATCTAACTGGCAGCTGCAGATGGAGCAGTCTGGGGGAGTGCGACTCACTGAATCGGGTAAGAAGCAGGGGAAGGAGAGTGTTCCACTGAACCTTGTCTGCAGCGATTCGATACCGTTGCCGTTGAGCAGCTGCAGTCGTACATCTGAGTGGGAAGCTGATAATGGGAGGTGTGGATAGTGAGGAGGAGAGGCAGCAAGGTATTCTTTTGTAAAGATTTCAAGAACCCACTCCCACTCTCTCACGCACGATACAATGGTGTTGTTCAATCAGTTCGTTTTGTTGGGGAAAATCACATCGAAAGCGTAAATGTACAGATCCACTCGTGTCCACGGCTGTTCCCTCAGTCGTCATACAGCAGAGGGCTGTCAAACGAATGTGAGCAGGGAAAGAGACAACAGTCGGAAGAAAAGAGCGAAGATAACGCTAAAGAGCACAGAGGAGGGGATAGAAATTGACAGCAGAAGCGATCAGGAGGAGGGGAGCGGGTTTTACCGAGGGTATGCCAGCACTCGTCGCACAGGCATCGGCATGCTCTTGCGGATCAGGGTGGTGAAACCTCCGGCGGACCCTGAGATCAAGTCGACGAAGAGGAACTGCCAGGGAGCAAGGCAGATCAGCAAAGGCACACAAAGAACATGAGAAGACACTGCAGGCCCTCCCCCCCCCCCTTACTCCTCTTCCTCCTCCTCCGCCCTTACACTCCCATTGTCCTCGTCCTCTCATAGCTAGGACTCACAGAGAAGCTGAGCCACGAGGCCGCCTGCGCCAGCATGTCGAAGTTCTTGTCGTCCACGCAGACGGCAGCCGCCATAAGGAGCATGGGCGCCGTGATCAAGGCTAAGAGCTCGTCAGCTGCAGGGCAGCACGGCAAGACAGCAACCTATCGATGCTGCTGATCGGAAGTTGGTCATGGACGTGTCCTTGGGCCGCACCTGGCATGAGGAGGGGGGGAAGGGAAGACAAGGAGGAGGCAGGATGACAAGGACGGACAGAGTTTCGAGGAGGAGGAAGGTGGGGAGGAAGCGGAAAAACAGGATAATTTCAGCTGCTGCAAGACTCTACTGCCTCCTTTCTCACCTCAGTTGACAGGGACGTGGAGACGCTGGTGGCGGGGTACTGCAGTTCAGACGGTGGCGGACCCGAGGACTTGGTGATCTCCCCCGAGCTGACCGCGGCAGCAGGAAGAGAGGAAGGGAGCGAGGCCTTCCTGTCGCTCTTGGAGAAGAGGGAGGAGACTTCCTTGGGAGACTTGTACGTCGGGTACTTGAGGTCTTCAAGCTTGCTTTCAAGCTGGGTCTCCCTCTTGAACTTGTCAACAGTCCAGAACGCAAGGGCTGCAGAGACCTGCAGGAGTGTCAGAGAACACGAGCAGACGGATCGTTTCGAATCCTCCACGGAGGAATTGGAAGGAAAACGAGCGTGCGTGCTGGGTTATCACCTGTAGGAAAACCATGACCTTGTCGAATGCCCATTCTGCAACTCTCCAGAGGAAGTATCTCTTTCCTACCCACTCAATCCTCCTTCCTGCGGACTGGCTAATTTCGGTTTTCTCCCGGGGACGACGAGCCATCGCTGAGAATTTGCTCTCGCCCACCATTCTTTCCACTTCTACTCCTCCTTGCTTCGTTTCCATCCCCCTTCCTGAGTAAACAAGAGCGGGTTTCATTCCCAAGGATGCTGATGGTGACGACATTCCTCGAGACAGTAGTGCTGGAGACGGTGAAGGAAACGCTGGAAGCTGAAGACCTGCGCTCAATCCTGCTCCTGATCCTGCTCCTCCGCTCACAAACGCCATAGACGTCGCCATTGCTCCCCGATGCCGACCTTGTAACACCACCCCTACCCCTGTCTATTGACTCATCTTCAACAAGGTACTTTATACCCCACCCCTCATTCCCCCTTGTTGTACCCTCGTTCTACTGAAAATTTATGACCCATCTGCTGGTTGTGGAACACTACCCTACCCTATCAAAACCCCAAAGTACCCCACCAGATGACCGTAATCGATACTTCTCCATTCAGCACCACCCCTACCCCAAGGTCTTCACATTCACGAATAGTTCAGAAATCGCAATCTTTCGTTTAATAATTGAGGCGGGCTTATGAAATGCATTTAATTCACCCCTCTGTTTCAGTCTTACCACCCTTCATTTCCTAGGGTAGTTCGTTTCGTTTACAGCTTTACTCATCTTACAGCAGCACAACAATTATAAAGCGATGACCCCACCATCATCGATAAGATGACCCCACCCCCTCAATAGCGAGAACACCGACCCCTATGGCATTGTACTCCGTTCACCCACCGCTTCTATCCCCAACACATTTCAGGCTAATGGACGGGTAGTCAGTGGCAAGTCAGTACAAGAGCACCCGGTACCTCTGCAATACCACCGGCTGCTGAAAGTTCTCTCGGCACTGAACTCCGTCACTGCTCGTACTGATTTTTAACTTAACTATGAGTAACAAGAGACTGATGTCGCCGCCGTGACTCACCGTCCCGGGCGCGGCCCGCCGGGCCGAGTCACGGCCGGGCAGCGAACCGTTGCGGCCAGTTTCCGGGAGCTCAACCGACCGGGTGGCAGGTTGAAATTGCCGGGACCGTCCGGGCCGTGACTCCGAGGAGTCGGACTCAGTGACGTCACCGGGCCGGCGCAGCGCCCGGCCGGGCCGGGCCCGGGCCCTGTCCGACGTCGGACTGAGCCTCGGAGCCTCGGAGCCGGCGGCTCAGCCGCGGTGCCACTGGCCGCTGAGCTGGGTCGGGCCGACTCCCGGTCCCGGCGAGCACTGGTGGCAGTCACTGGCCACCGTACGCCGCCGAGTACGATCACCCGGGCCCCCGGCGGCGGCCCGCAGCCTCCGAGTCCGACTCGGCGACTCGCCGAGTCGCCGAAGTTCAACTCAGTTGAAGTTGGAAACCCGGATAGGTGCAACTTTCATGCCGCCTCAGGCAAGTTGAAACTTGCCGCCGGCCCGGAGTCCGATCATCCGAAACTTAGTTCAACGGCGTGGCCGGGCCGGGCCACGAAAGTTCCCCGGATGATCGCCGGATTTTGGCCGGCGACCCTATCGCAGAATGGAGGCCGCAACGAACAGGAAGGTATCACCCCTACCTACCTTTGACATGACCCCACCTATGTCTACAAGTTTTCATTGTTTTTAACCCCTTGTTTCCAGAGTCAAGTACCCCACTTTTCATAGCTCACTATTTCACGCAGTCTCGACCTACCCCTACATTGTACCCTACCCTTTTGACCATATTCCGCACCCCCACGTACCTAGTGTCAACCCACCTCTCTCACGAAACGTATGATGGAAGCTGTACCCCTACCCTTCCTAATCTTATCTCTTCCTGTGACTACCATACAATTTGACATTATTAATGAGGGTGGGGGTCAATACCCTACCTATTATTTAATATCATCTTTAGGACCCACCATGTTCGATTGAAGCTAAATGGAACATCCCCGGTGGGTGGTATCACCCCACCCCCACGTGGGCCTTCTCGTGCGTGTGCTGCAGGCGTAGGGGAGGGTTTGCATATCGATAGGGGTTATGCTTCATGTATAGGATTCAGGATGTGCCCCTTAGACCCCACATGTTGTACCATCAAGTTTATCAGTTAAGCACTCAGTTGAAACATTGATGTAAAGTTCAAACTTTTCAATGTTATGGTTTCAAATTATATGATAAAATTTGTACCATGTTTGAATACGCGATGGCCACACCCACGGTTGACATGTGAAAGAAGAATCAGACTACTTCACAAAACAATAAGATTGAGAAATTTCAAATAAGGTCTGTATATTTATTGGTATATTTGAATTTGATAATGAATGAATGAAAATAATTTTCTTTTTTCCAAACTGTTCATAGAGTCATTCCTCAGCTACGCACCTCAAGCCCTTTACTACCCCTTCCTTTTGGTGCTTTATCACCCCTCGGCCCCCAACCCTCGCTGGAAAAACGTCCAAAGTGGCGGCGACGATGGTTAACACATTTCGTCGTTGCCATGAGGAGGGACGATGCTGAGTTGGGGTAGCAGCAGACAGAGGAGGGAATTGATGCACAGATGGCATGAGGAGACATGCTCTTCGATCAAGAGGAAGCAGTTCTGCTCGTGGCCTTGTAGCAGTAACGATGGAGGCACGCGAGGATAGCAAAGCAGTCGTAGCTTACAGTGGTAGATTGAGGATAGAGTATCAAGGGAGGAGGGTGAAATGGATACCGCAGTTGATCAGGTCTTGATGCAAGAGGGTGGCAGCTCCATGTTTTCCCTTGCATGCGGTGATAGGGTATGATCGGGAGCAGCAGCAGCATTTACATCTTGGAGGGACGGAAAGCAGTTTTGAGGTGCAATGAGTCAAAATTACGCCCGGAATTGGTGAGATCGGACTGTGAGTGATCAGGCAGTGAATGAAATACCAGAATCATACTGAGAATCTCCTTATCCGTGGAGCAAATACATCGAATCGTAGTACGTGCAATGTTGATTGGCCTAGAGTGTTTTCTTGTACCGGACGTCGAAAAGATGTTGATTGCCCTGGAGTGTTCTTTAGATGTATTAAGATCTGTTCGACGTCCGGTACAAGACACAATCTAATGATTGCCAGTGTAGTCCTTTGAGGAACTGATAGTTCTAGAACATGAGCATTGTAGGTTGCAGAACAGAAAGAAACAAAGATATGAAACTTCCAACTATCGGTGGCAGGATGTTTTCGTGAACGGATATCGTGTTTTCGCTGTTCGTTCAATGATATCACAGTGATGGAATTGCCACAACTCATCTCGGCCTATGTTATGAGAGCATGAGTCGTGATGTGCTGTCATGTATACTGCTCTGTCCGGAGATGATGTTTAGGTTTTAGTTCAGAGGTTTTGTTGTCTCGTTCGCAATCGATAGCTAATTGTGCGTGACTACAATCAGTTTGTTTACAACAATGGTGAGTAAGAGATTCTTGCACTGAACGTTTGATGTGAACAGGCATGGCTCCTCCAAAGTTTAAGGATCTCGGCAAGAAGGGAAATGACTTGCTTGGCGAAGATTACGACTTCGACCACAAGTTCGAGGTCAAGAGCAAGTTGGCCAACGGGATTGTGAGTTGATGACGGAGACGAGGACGATGGGTAGTGACGTGTTCCCTGCAGGAGATCAAGTCCACCATCAAGCAGAGCGCTAAGGATGGAATGCTCAGCGCTGTGCTCGAGGGAAAGAGGAGCGTGATGAACATGGACTGCACTCTTAAGACCACCCATCAGATGGAGCCATCCCTCGCCGTCGAGCACAGGTGCCTCTTACTTGTTGCCTGCCATGCGCATGGACTAACTTGTGATGGCCAGCAAACTCCTTCCCGGACTCAAGCTCAGGCTCGACACCGACTCCAAGTTGAACAGCACCCTTGCTGCTGACTACAAGCTCGACAACTTGATGATCACGTCCAAGATCAACCCCGCGAAGGCCAACATCGACATCGATGCTGCTTTCGGCTTGGGCTCCTTGAACGCAGGCGTCAAGACAGCTTACAACTACGGTAGGTCGGCTGTCTTCTTGCGTGGGAGAGGATGCGGAGATGGCGCACAGGGAGGAGTGGGTTTTTACTTTCTTGGCAGGAAAGGGATCCTTGGCCACCCCCGAGCTCAGCGCTGAGTTCAAGGTGGATGCCTACAGCGTGCAAGTGGGATGCAAGAACTTCGGCGAGTCCATCTCAGGAGTTGTGCACACCGAGATCAGCAAGGGAACGGAAGTTGCTTTGAGCTTCGAGCAGACGAGCAAGAACAAGAACACTGACCTCAACCTCGCCATCGGTGCTGCATGGCAGGTTGGATATGAGGAGGAGAGGCGAGGGAGGAGGAGATGAGAAAACTGACGGAGTTTTGTCAAGATCGACAAGGACAGCAGCTTCAAGGCTAAGGTGGACAAGGACGCTATGATGTGCGTGTCATACGTTCAGCAAGTCCGCCCCGACCTCAAGATCAAGGTAGAGGAAGTACAGTGTCGAAGGAGGAGGCGCTGACAAGAGGGGCAGGTCGCTGGTCAGATCCAGGCAGCCAAGTTGACTGCAGGAAACGCTCACAGGTTCGGAATCACTGCCCTTTGGAACATGTAAGGAGCAGGGTAGAAGCCGTTTTTTGTGAATCTCAGATCTTATTTTGCATGCTGCCATAGAAACTGTAAAGACAAGTTTGATTCATTAAACGAACATTTCATTGGCAATCGAGGGACGTGAGTTCAAATCACTTTATTTGAGTTCTTAGTTTACACGTTGGCTAGAACAGCATCTGCAAATTGACTGGCTCTTGATTTATGCATCCAGTCCCCTGCCTTTGCTCTGCTTCACAAAATCGTCGTTGATGATGGCTCTCTTTTCTTCTGGAACCTGCAACACCATCATTCCCTTCCTGGACAAGGTTCTCCTTGCTCACGTAATATCCTGCATACATCTTGGCATCGATCTCAACGTGAGCATCCGCAGGAATCATGTCGTCGGGGATAGGAACTCTCTCCAAGACCTGTGGGGACATCAGACCACCTGGTCGCCATGACTCAATGTTCAAAGTGACCTTGATGCCGGACCCAGTGATAGCGTTGTACTTCATGTCACTCATGGAGATCAGCTTATCGATCTTGGTGATTCCAAGCCTGAAGAAAAGACACAGTCAGCATTGACAGTGTGCTGTAAGACAGTGAGCTATACCAATGGAGGGCATCCGGCATGAGTTCTTGGAATCGCATGTCTTCCACTCCAGCAACACAAGCAGTGCGATGGAAGTACGTTTCTGTAGAAAGCAGATGTTAGCCGAATCACAGCAACTAATCAACCAACCTGCACGATCTCCACCCTCTTGCCTCTTCCTGGCATTGTAAACCAAGAACTTGGTAACCTTTCAACCCAAGTCAGTTCCACCACCCAAGGAATCCTCCAAACTCACCTCGCCAAGAGAGCGTCCCTCCTTTCTGAAGTACACGATGACACCGACGCCACCATTCTGAGCGGTTCTTACGCACTCCTCGATCCCATGCACGAGATAGGGTCTGTCAATACAATCTCAGCTACTTGCAAACATTTGCGTCAAAATGACCACCTGCAGGTGCAGATATCGGAGCCAAAGACATCCGACCCGTTGCACTCATCATGAACCCTCACAGTGCAAACCTTGGAAGGATCTTGCAGATACTCTGCTGGTCCGAAGATGTAGACGGTGAGTCCTCCGATGGGGGGAAGGAAGACCTCCAAGTCCGATCTGGTGATGAGCTCGGGGAACATCCCACCAGTCTGCTCGAACATGCATCGTCGGAGGGTTGCCTCAGTGATGTTGAACCTCTGGGCAACGCCTGGAAGGTACCAAACATGTTCGATCGCTGCCTTGGTCACCACACAGGATCCATCGGATTGCAAAATGTTGCCGTCGGCCTGCAGCCTGCCCTTCTCCATGGCCTCCACCAGCTCCAACATCTGGATGTGCGCCTTTGTGATCGCAATGGTTGGGCGAATATCGACTCCCTCCTTGAGGTGCGACCCGTATGAGTCGACAATCATGTGTCCCCATGGGTCCATGGATACAATCTTGGTAGGATCGAACCAAGAAGGGTTTGGTGGAATCATAACAGGGGGGGCCGTGTTGTGAAGATCCGGGCGGAACCTAGCGAGGAATCGAGGTCAGAATCGAGCTGATCGCAGCAGTGAGAAAATGTTACATGGGGTCCATCTTTCCAGCAGCCACGGCGATGGACCGATACACACTGTACGAACCGTTGTGTGTCCCGATAGCATTACGCAAGCGAGGCTGAGCGATCAAGTTAGAAGCAATGTGAAGAATCATGCAATGCTAAGGTACCTGGCTCAAGGTAGCGATGATTGGCCCACGCTCTGCAGGGCTTGTGGCGCCCCACTTGATTTGAATCGGTGACCCTGCTCGTGGGTAAGATCCCGGCTACACAAGGAACGTAGGACACCTCGTCGTGGGTGTGTAGTCAGCACAACATGGGATTTGGTGTTGTATTCTCCTCTCTTCTGATCTCTTCCCCAGGCGTTGCTTTTCTAAGTTGCATTTGATTACATGAAACTTTGTACAATTGAAAGCAATACCTCCTGGCCTTGGCCTTCTTTCAACTTCATTTGTCCGAATGCAGCTTCAAAATTGAAAGCTGCCTGCTCATTGGGGGAGCCAGAGACGCAGTGATCGCATCCTAAAGTAAATCCTGTTGCTGATTCAACCATGGGAGGCATGCCTGTTTGCGAAGATAAAACTCAAGGCCTGGATCCGAACTAATAAGTCAGAAACGAAGCAGAACAGCAAGCATACACTAGAAAAAGAATTTTGAGGTAGGGAAGTAGGGCAATTTCTTTTCTGCTTGATGCGCTTATTGTTCACTACAGGGTTGGTCATTGTAAAATGCTATCATGTGAAAGTCGACAGTGTTTACAGCTTAACACCTTTTCGCCTTTGCAAGTACTCGAAATGTACCTGAGCAGGAAACCTCTGGAAGAAAGCTACAGGAGTCTGCAACACACATGTTTATGTTCGAGGTGACTGCATAGTATCATCTATCCTGGTTCTTAGAGCGGCTCTTTCTGCTTCCCTGCCGTCCTCTCCCTGCCTCTTCCCGCTCCCCTTGAGCATTGCCAGAAGGCGTTCCCTTGCCACAAACCTTGCTTTTATAGCCTTCCACTCCACCCCACCCCTACCCCACTATGGTTTTACCTCACACCCACAGGACCCCCTTGACCTTGAATCCACCCCTCCTTCCCTCCGCCAATAGTCCTTCTTAGGACCCCTCATAATGAGCCCTGCAAGAACGATAACCCACCCTTACCCTACCCATATCTCCTGGTACAAACAGTACCCACCCCCTTTTCAGATTCCAACAGTCTCAAGGACTACCCCAACGTACGGAGGAGGTACCACCCCCGCTCTATATGAGTTGCAACCCACCCCATTCCGTTAGTCTTTTGGCGACGATGTATCACACTTGAAAAACAAATAGTGTACAATCGGAACCATGGGAGCCAACTACCCACCCGGTCAAAGGTAGTTGATTCCTGGGAAATTTCGTGGTGGGGAAAATTTATCCGGTACTTCTACTGAATTGCCAGCAAAAAAGTCAGTAATTGAAAGGTAGGGTGATCTGGTACCGGTGGATATCTGGACTGGACCTCGAAAGGGTAGTGAAAACGTTTTTCTTTCCGTTCTCCTCGGTTGGCTTCTATGCCTCCTCCGAACTTGAGGCCCCACTACAATTTTTCAAATTTGATCAAACAATCACAAAATTTGACTTTGTATCTTCAATATTTGAAACTTCGAGCTTCAGAAAGAGTTCAACAAACTGAACCTGGATCCACGGGTTTGACTCAAAGGGAAACCACCCTACCCCATCTTTGTTCGATCACCCCCTTTTGGTCAATGGCCGCCCACCCCTACCTCCTATACCTTCCTGGTTGTATTGCACCCCTAGTACCGGAACTGTACCTCTGCTACAAGGGGCGTACAGATGGTGTACCCCATGAGAGTCGCTTTCCCACCCCCTTTCCCCGCAGGAAGTACCCACCCTTTCATTATCTTACGAGTTACACCCTACCTACGCCTCACCCCTTATATGAATCACCTTCACTTCAAGTTGACCCACTGTCGTACTCTCCTCGGGGACCCACCCCCAAACGAACTATGACAACCCCTACCCCTATTTTATGAGTGCTGACCCAATATCTCCTACCCTATCCCAACGACCTACTCTACACATTTCATCAAGTTGTGAGATGGACCCTTGGGTGATTGCGGCACCTGCCTCACTACCCCCACCCCCTCTTGTTTCCGGCGTCGCAACTCCTATTTGTAGTTTGTTGCAGCGATTTGGAGGTGTAGAATTCAGTTTGAAAAAAAATACTTCAATTTCAAACTTCGGGTTTCGGTGCTCTAGTAGCCGCGCGGCTGCCACCCGGCCGGTCCGATCATCACCCGGTGACCGGCCCGGGCCGGCGCGGCCCAGTCGGCGATCCGGGACAGTGATCGGACGCCCGGGTGCCGCGGCCGGGCCCGGCCGCGGGCCGCGTCGCAGTGCAGTCGCGGCTAGGCGGCTAGTAGCGGCGCGCCGCCCGGCCCGGCCGGCGCCGGGCGCCCGGCCCGGCCCGCGTCCTGGCCCGGCCGCCGCACAGGCTGAGTGGCCCGCCGGACCGTGATTTGCTTCCGGCAACGGTTGAACGTCCGACAGTGCGGCCGCACTGCAGGAGGCTGGGCGGCGGCAAGTCGGATGACGTTGAGCCCGGCCGCGCCCGGCGCGGCTACCGTAGTTTAACTTCGGCACGGTGACCGGACCCGTGACCGCCGAACTTCGGAACCGGGCCGGGCCGATCCGAGCCATGAAGCCTTGAAGTACGCGGCGGTTGCCCTATTGAATGCCGGCCCGGGCCGGGCCTCCTAAAGTTTGAGTAAATGGTTCCGAGTTCCTTACTACGGTAGGCTCAGTGATCATGTGACTCGGAGGGTCCGATCGGATCGCCGGGGACGGTCGGGCACGGTTCACTGTCACTACCCGGCACCGCCGTACTGATCATTGGCACTGGGCCGGGTGACCGTACTACGCCGGTACCTGGCACGCCGCGGGCCGCCCCCCCCGCGGGGCCCGGTACGGTACGGGGGCGCTGTCCCGGTCCGTTCAGTTCGGACTCGGAGTCGGCCCCGGCGGGGCCACCGTCCGGGGGGGCGGCCGCCCGGCCGGTACTGAGCGAGTCCGCCGAGTCACGGAATTCATCACGTAACCGGACGGGGTGACCGCACCTTGCAGGTGACCGCACCTTGCAGTGCCGCGCAGTGGGCAGGCTGGCACGGCGCGCCCCGGGCACTCCGAGCCTGCTCGATCGGAGTTGTGGTACGTGACTCGTGACTCGAGCAGTGAGCGGGTGACGATTCGGCGTAACCCCGAGAGTCCGTGCATGGAAAGATGCGACGGGCCAGCCGCTACTCCGAAGGCTGAGGCAGGGTAAATCGTTCACGGACGCCATTAACTGATAATAAAAAGTATTCTTGCAATGTTCCTACGGAAGAGGGCTCGTTTGAGTAGTCTTCCAGGGCAGTGGAAAAAGGATGTTCGGATTTAAAATAGCAGCTGAGTTGCTGCCCCTTCCATCTCTCTTAAAAGGAAACTGAGGCGAGCTTAACCTTTTGCCCCTTGGTGCCGCCTGTCGATTCTGGAACACGTTTTGATGATTTACCACACAGTCAAAGAGGGGGTACTTCAGCCACCTTCAAGTAGGCAAAGGAAGGGTGGGGGTACTTCAAGATCTGAAACGTCGCGGTTCCTTCCAGTCAAATCCTCTCTTGCGCTCTAGCCCTCTACTACTTCCCCTCTTGTACCTCACCTGCTTCTCCCGCCTGCCTCTGCCCCTGCTCGCTCCTACTCCTGCTCCTGCTCCTGCTCCTGCTCCTGCTCCCCCGTTTGACCTGCCTGATTGCACGTCTCATCCCCGCATCCTTCTCGTCCTTGTGCAGTAACCTGAATCCTCCTTTATTCTCCGTGCGCGCAATTCTCCCCCCCCCTCCCCTACCTTCTAACAAGCCTCCTTTTCTCCTTCCAACTTCATCTGTAATTCTCTCCCTTTTATTCCGTTTGCTACAACAAGGGACTTGTGTTAATACAGAGATCTTCTCTGTCAAAACTCTGGGACCTTCATTGTGGGGACGCGATTGGTGGCAACTTGTTTGCTCGCCCACAGTGGGTTGAAGATGCAGAATCCAAATGGACATAACTCGCCTCGACTGATTCGTGTAGCTTCTGAGCCCGTGTGGCAATATGTGGTGGACAAGGAGGAGACTGCGTCTCCGCGACCCCTGTGCTCGACCTTGCGGAGAAACTCATCCTCGCCCTCGTTATACGCGTCAGTCTTGGAAGCTCGAATGAAGCTGGCAGAGCTCAAGGCAAATGTCCCAAAGAAGGAATGCGAGAAGATGCAAGTTGAGGAGAAACCTGCAGTACATGCGACTGGCGATGGCTTCTGCCGAGAGTGACTTGTGCCTTCAAAGAAAGCTGTTGGTGGTTCATGAGCTCGTGCGGCCGCATCGGCAGATTCCGTGGAGCCTTGTCGTCTCCAAAGTTGGTCAAGTTTTCGGACTGAGTTCCATTTCGACATTGATACTCCCAGAGGCCGTCCGGCAATTGTCAGCAGCACGACGATGACTCATAGAGTTTCTTGATGTATCAGTAAGACATAGATTACTAGTTATCCCATAAAGATGGTTTCATGTACAAGTGAGTTTCATTCCTCCTTGAAAGCGTGAGGGCAAACCCTCGTGTCTTTTGGCGACCAGTCACGGCTGAACATGAACGGCAACGGTCTACGATTCTTGGAGACCAGGGTTCTCCAGTCTGCTGAGGGCTGCCGCCAGTGCATGCTTACCACAGCTCATCTGTGTCAAATTCCGATCGTCTTGTGTCCGATCAGCTTGGAGGGCTGCATGCTTGGCAGGGGTTGACGCACTGAAAGTCAAAAAGTGCGTCAGATTGGAAAGACTTCATGCAGCAGCGGCGGCGGCGGCAGAGGAGGAGCAGGAGGAGGAGCAGGAGGTTACAGGGAGGGAGGAAATGAGAGAGGAGGAAGCTGAGAAACTTGGAGCCAGGGAGGATGGCCATGGATGGATCAAGAGAAAGGCCCCAGCAAAGTCTCACCGCAGGAACGACTGTGATCCCATCCGGGACGTTGGTGGCGAAGTCTCCCCTCCAGCAGCTCACCAGGCCGTCAACAGCGTCAGTGATGCAGGCATGCTCCATGGGCGAGTCAGCAATGGAAGGCCATGAGCCTCGAACGGGGCTGAAGGCTCACCGAGTGTCCGACGGCAATGCTGCTGCGCTCGCGGACGACGCTTCCTGGCTTGGGGTTGACATGCCCGCTGAAGTTTCCGAAGCAGACGAGGAAGCCGATCCCGTCCTCGATGCCTGCCTGATCCACCCGGAGCGCGCAGGTGTAGCTCATCCCACAAGAGAGCTGGACGAACTTCTGGCCCAACCTGCATTGCTCACAGTGAAACCTCATCACGCCTCCTGCCGCCAGTCACTCACGTCAGGGCGGGAGGAGCAGCCTGCCCGTACTCATTCGATCCCCTGCGCGGCATGAAGCATCAGTCAGCCCCTTCACGACAACAAGAGGGACGTCAGGCCCACCAGCATATGATCTCTGACTTCTCGTGGGTTATGGCACAAGTGTGTTGTGCTCCCGATGAAACCTGAAGGATTCAAAAGCGCATCTCAGCCCATCGGTCGATTATCGTCTTGAGCTTTAGCTACATGCGACACAAGCAGGTCCTGCGGCGCGTCCGTTTGGTTGAATTGGTTGGAGCCCCAGCATCTCAGTCGACCATAGGAGGAGGAGAAGCCACCTGGCAGTGCGCAAGGAGGTGAGAAGGTGAGGAGAGAAGATGAAGCAGTGGAGGAGAGTAGGAAGAGAGATGGAGAGAAGGCGGGTTCATTGGAGGAGAAGGAGAGGGGAGGAGAAATTCTGTTCACTCACCACTGGATACGATTGCACAGGTGTGATGCAGCCCACATGATATCGCGATGACTCCAACGTTGCTTGTCCACCCTGAGCAAAGACAAAGTCAAGAGCTTGCTTAGACGGGACGATAACCGCCTTGCAAGCTCACTCACCCTTCTGCAAGTCGTCCGGCACGATAGACTGGTTGAAGTTGTTGGCCCCGAAGCAGGAGACCGTTCCGTCAATCCACACCACACAAGTGTGGATGCCACCTGTTGCAGTCCATCAGGATGACGTGCGGGTCGTTCAAGTTGGCCATGGCACAACAGACCAGCCGAGATGAGCACCGGAAGCTTGTTCAGGTAGAGGGAAGACGCAGGGGCGGAGGAGCACGTATTATCTGGTATGTCACTTGTCAAAAAAGACTTCATGGTGATCGAGGAACGAGGGACCAAACTCGCTGCAGGAGAGCATGAGATGAGCTGCGAGGTTCGGAGGAGCTTGCCCGAACGCGTTGCTCCCCCAGCAGTAAATGTTGGCTGCGATGCTCATTCATGAGGACCAGACTGAGTCCTCCCGGCACAACCTCACCTCTCGTCAGCTCGAACGGCTGGTCCTTTGCTTGAATCGTCCTGTTCAGGCACTGCAAGCTTGCGGAGTTAGAAGACGCCCGATGGCCCAAGTAGACGAGCACCTGCCCCCTGCCCACCTTGCAAGTCTGGTATGACACGGCACTGGCTGCGATCAGGGCAGCATCGTCAGAGCAGATCCTTGCGTCATAAATCCCTCCGAGACAAGACGTGATCTGCGTCTTTGTTCCTATCCCGCAGGAGTGTCGAGATCCGCAGGAAATCTGAACTCGAGCCAGTGAGTCGAACAGACCCAGGTCGAGGATGGCAGGGTAGACTGAAGAAAAGAAAGCAGAGCAGAGCAGAGCAGAGCAGAGCAGAGCAGAGCAGAGCGGAAGAGCAGAGCAGAGCAGAGCGGAAGAGCAGAGCAGTGAGGGACTCCTGCAGCGCACCTGTGCAAAGGGGATCCCCGTTGGAGCTTCGAGTTGCCCGAACTCATTCCATCCCCAGCACGTCACGCTGGCGGACCCGCTCGACCAGTTCCTTGCGCACGAGTGGTACGGACCAGCTGCGACGAGGTTCGCAAGAGTCTGTCGCATGCCAAGTCATCATCGCCCATGGCCATTCGCCATCGTCAGTCCAGTGCGACTGGCGCAACGCGGCAACAAACCTGCCTGCAGGTAGGAGCGGTGGAGAAGGCGTCCACCCAGACCGAATGGAGGAGGAAGCCCAGCAGCAGGAGGAGGAAGGAGAAGGGAGGAGGCTGGAGGAGAAGGAGTACACTCTCAGACTGTCTCTTCGCTCTCATCCTTGTACCATCACACCTCCTAGCGTGACTGCCAGCATGTCCGCACTGGAGCGTGACGGCAATGGCAGTTGCCAAGTTGACTGGCCATTACACTGGTGACTAAAAATGTTTGCTACTGACCCGGAGTCACCGGCCCGGCGGCGGCCCGGCCCGGCACGGGAGTCCGATCAGTGACCGTCAGGCCCGGCGGCCGCTGAGCTCTCGCCTCGCCGGCCCGGGCCGGGCCACCGTGCACTGCGGCAGCCCCCGACTTAACCTTCGGGTTCACTCAGTCACGGGGGCGGTCACGCAAGTTGAAGGCCGGCCGCCCCGATCAGATCCGACGGCCAGCGCCGGGGCGGCCGGGCCGCCGCCACGTGACTCGCCTGGGGCCGCCGCGGACTCGGGCCTCGGAGTCGGTCTGTCCCGAGTTCGGGCCTGGCACCGTGAGTCACCGACTCAGGCTCGGCCGACTCACTTAGTCATCGGACGGTACTGGCAGTGTCCGGGACCGTGATGGATCATTCACGGCCTTGGCCGCGGCCGCCGCGCTGCCTCGGGCGGGCCGGGCCGTGCCTGGCCGGCCGGGCGGCACCGTCACTGAGCTTCAGCCGCGGCACTCAGTCCGGCCCGGCTGCCGCCGCGGCCCGGCCGTTCGAGTCCGATACGGTCGCCGATGCCCGGTCCGATCAGTGACGGGAGTCACTCAGGCTGCCGAGAACTGAAGTTTGTCTTGTACTCTTTTTTTTCTTTTTTTCTTTTTTCTTTGTTTTTTTTTCCAAGAGGTTTCCAGGACGATCCGTCTCCTTGGGGTTTATTTTGTGGGTGAGCAATTTTGTTGGGGTGGGGGTACTCAAATAGAAGGTGGGTACTTCAAGTACCTACCCTTTTAGACACAATATTTCTTTTTGAAGTATGGGTACCTATTTGGATGGAGGGGGTTATATACGAATTCGCAATTGCATGAGAAGGTAGGGTACATGATTTCTTCGGGATTATGAAGGGATTGTTGACCCAGGATAAATCTAACAAATAATCGAACAAATGGAGGGTAAACGGTATCAATCTTTAGTGAAACCGAAAGGGTGCTTGTCTTACAAAAGCTGTTCATCAGTACGAAATTGGTACAGCGATAAATGAAATTCTCACACAAATCCTTGGAATAGTATCAGTGATATTTTCCAAACAGCGATAATTTGCCTCATATATTTTGCAGTCGCAGCGCAATCCACTGCAGGATGCAGGAAGTTGCAGCGACGCTGGACGGAGGAAAGGAGGAGGAGGAGAAAGAGGAGGAGAAGGAGAGCAGAAGGAAGGTAGGGATGAGGCTAGAAATGAGGTGGTAGAAGCAAGGAAGGGGGAAAAGACATGAAAGTAGGGTTGCATTTTGCGAAGAATCTACGAGGTGCTATGGAGTTAGGAAAATGGAGAGCTTAGAATGAAGATTCGAGGGATAACCCTCCCACCTCGCTTCCATGCTCTGCTCCTCCTCTGCTTTTTCCTCCGTCCCTCGTTGCTGCGACTTCCTGCTGCATCCTGCCGTGGATTGCAGATGCGAAAACAACATTGCTGAAATGTATGTTGGTGTCGGGGACATGCAGAAATGTATTCTTGTGTTCGAATGTACTTTTTGCTCCGAAGCAGCAGAAAATCCCCTGACTCCCCCGTTCGTATCCCATTAGTATGACCCCGTAATGACATGAGATCTTTTTTTCTATTGAACTCTCAACCATCTTGACGGGAGCTCGCAGGTCAATCCTTCAACACCCATGAAATCTGTGTACGCAGAAATCCCTGACCGGCATTATCAGATCATTGCGCACCCTGTATGTTTTCCGTGCTCTTGCACCGCACCAACGGCCGCTGACTGGATGTTTCCCAGGCGCAAGAAGAATTAGCGTTGAGACTAGTCAAGCATGACCCCAAAAGGTTCACCTACCATCCCACGGTGCCTGCGGCTCCCCTGCAGCGGCTGGGAGTGACGAGAGCTGCTGGCAGAATTGGTCCAAGTTCAAGGACGGGACGGACAACATTGAAGTGGGTAAGGCAGAAGAGTTGTTTCGAGTCGGGATGCCTCCTTGTGATGTAAGATGCAGGTGGTTTCAATCCTGTAAACTACATCCGAGGGGCGCATGTCCTCTTTCTCGCCTCCTTCCACAACAACGACGTCACCCTAAGCCAATTCCACGTACTGCGCGGCAGCTTCTCGGCCCGCGGAGGAGGAGAAGGAAGGGAGCTAATCGCTGCCTGCAGGTCTTGAACATGCTCTGCGAGTCCTTCGTCGAGACTATGGTGATATGCCGCGCGCGCCTGCGTTCATCCATGTGCACGTTGGGAGGAGCAGCATGAAAGCAGAACACCTCACATGCTCCTCTGCTGATCTGTGTTGTTCCTCCTGTCTCCTTCCCCTTCCCTCCCTCTGCCCCCTCCCCTCGTCTTCCCCCCCCTAACTTTTCCCCGCATGTGGAGCTGTGCCCCTCTCCCCCCTGCTTCTGCGTGTGAGATTGCAATTCTGCAGTGCGTTATCTTGCCTTACTGGCCATTTGGCACAACACCCATTGATCTACCTCGAGACCCTGTCCTCTCCAAAACGCCTCAGCAGTTGACTTCTCCTCACAACTTCAAGCTCGGTAGAGACTTTCTTCATCTTCCTGACATTTTCTTCTTGCTCCTCCTTCTCCTCCTCCTGCGTCGCTGTGGCTGTCCGCTGAGAAGACGGTGGCTCTTCCGTACTATCCGACAGGAACCATGGAGAGGGTGGTGCGGGAAGGGCAGGTTGCAACAGCAAGTAATACATCTCCTCCTCCTCCTCCCTCCATCCTCCTCCCTCCATCCTCCTCCTTCTTCTCCTCCCTCCATCCTCTATCCTCCCCCCCCCTCCCCATCCTCTTTTCCTCCTCCTCCCTCTATCCTCCTCCTCCTCTCCCTTCTCCTCCTCCTCTCCCTCCTCCTCCTCCCATCCTCGTACTTCTCTCGCTTTTGTCTTGCCTCTCTCCGTATCTCCTTCGGGCTTTGCACGCCTCCTCCCCTTTCTTTCCTCTCCCCTCGCTTCCATTTCTTGGGCTTGTTTCCTCTCAGTTCCCCATACTTGCTTCTTGTTGTTCCCTTGCTTACGGCTGATGCCCAGGCACGCTTGCTCGTCTCTTCTCCAACCTTCCAAGAGTCGGAAAGCCAATCAGAGTGATGGTGTACGACCTCCACACCCTGCAGGTTGGAGGACGAGGGGGAGGAGGGGGAGCTAGGAGGATCAAGAGCAGGAGTGAGAGGAGAATGATCAACAGAGGAGGAAAAAGAGGGGAGGAGGAGGATGCTATCAAATGGACGACGACTGTTTGCTGATTTATATCTTCTGCGCAGAATCGATTCTACCTCAGCGGCAACGCTCTTGCTAGCTTGCACACAGCAATTCCCCTGCTGGTGAGGATGACAAGGGCATGGCAGAGGAAGCAGGGGAGGGGAAGCAGGGAACGGCAGGGTGAGAGAGGGGCTAAGAGCAAGGAGAACGTGAAAGGGTCGAGGAGATCAAGTTGAAAGCGCAGCAAGCCGGGGGGGGGGGGGTAGAAACGTTTACAGAGGGGAAGAGGGGAAAGTGTACCATGTCGAGGATGTGGTCGCTGACATCTGTTTCAGATCAACGAGTTGCGCAGCCCGGAAAGCAAGATATCTTGCATCGCATTCCCAGATGAAGGTGCCCCCTCCTCCCCCTTCCCCGTTTTCCTCCCCCTCGCCCTCCCTCTTTTTCTCTCCTTTCTCTTCTCTCTCCTTCTTCCCACCTGTCTGCCAGGGTCTCCTTTCCCTTGTCCCTGGAGACTTTCTCGTCACCTCAACCTGCTTTCCGTGAGTTGCTGCCTCCTCACTCGTTTTCCTCCTTGACAGGTGCCTGCAAACGCTTCTCCACGCTCTTCAGCACTGAGTTCCCTGACTGGCCAGTAGTGACATGCGGAAAGGTTGAAAACACAGAGATGTTCTTCTCAATATCCATTCTTCACGATCGACACTCGATTCTCATTCCTTCATCCTTGTACCACTATTGAATCTCTCCCTCCCCCTTTCCCTGTCCATCCCCTTCTCTCCCTCTCCCTCTCCCTCTCCCTCTCCCTCTCCATCTCCCTCTCCCTCTCCCTCTCCCTCTCCCTCTACCTCTCCCTCTCCCTCTCCCTCTCCCTCTCCCTCTCCCTCTCCCTCTCCCTCTCCCTCTCCCTCTCCCTCTCCCTCCACACACAGACACTGATCCTCCTCTCTACCACATGTTGACCCTTGCACTGCATCCTTCTCACTTCCTCACCCTTCATATCCCTCCCATGCCGCTCATCTCCTCTGACTTTGTTACAAGATTCGAGATGGCGATCGGCGTGTTGTGACCATTCAAGATGGCGATCCCAAAGACCGACACGTCATCATCGTAGACGACCTAGTTCAGGTAAGCCCTCCTCCCTCCTCCCCTTCTTCCCCCCTTCCCCTCTCCCTCTCCTCTCCTC